TTTGACGTACCAGTTGAAAAGATCTACAACAAAACACAGCGTGAAAAGTTCCGATGGGCTCTTGACATGGCTACAGCCGATTTCACCTTTTGATGACACGGAAACGGATAGAAAACCTGTATTTTGATGGACACCAATGAAATTATTTAAGTGCTAAAATAAATTAGTGGTCACTCATTGCATTTCATTATTCCTCCATTTTATCTTGTAGAAATTAACACCTGTCATATTTATTTGTTCTCATCGATTCATTTTAACGTCTGCGGACACGTGCCATTTTTACCAGCACCCTGGAATCATCTTTATCGCAAATCATCTCAAAGAATATCGTATTTTGTTTAACATTAATATTGATACTTCATATATACAAAGTATTTTTTTGTCTGTCTCAGTGCCGAGTCTGTATGATACATTACATGTGATTTTTCATGCATTTTTGTTAATTGTTAAATGATTTGAAATAACAGTCATTATTTTTTTGAATCCCAGCATTTTTAAACCTGCAAATAAACCTAACTTAATAATAAATAATATCTTCCTAGAATTATAGATGTATGTATAAAAATAGGCATTAGTTTACTTAGAAACTTTTAAATAATTTATTGTTTCAATCATCAAGTTAAATTGTAGATGTAAGTCCGTCTCTTCTACCTGGATGTAAATAAATCTCCACCCGGGGGAACGGCACAAACTTATTGTATCGTGTCTTGTTGTCCCAATAGGTAAGAAAAATATATCAATGCAAAATTAATAATAAAATCTTGAGATTCTGCCGAAAAATTTAATATATCTAAGTGTGTCGTTAAATGAGATTTTATTATTCACCTATTGTCATATTATCAGGAATATTATGTGAATTGGTTTTATGACAGGGTAACCATGGTAACAGTGTGTATAATATTATTAGCAATATTTATTGGGGGTTTGTCCTGTTCACATTGTTGTAGCAGTAAAAAATAAACTTGATTCTTTCTAAATAGATTGAATGTCCAGCTTATAAAATAAATATCACCTTTTTATAAGTAAAACGTTATCAAAGTTCCTATTGCTAGCTACAGTAATATCTCGAGGAAAATTAGTTGTTTCAGCAGAATAATAATGTTGATAAAGTCCTGAGAGACCAATAAAAACCCTTTTTAAACTTGTTCTAGATAAGGAACTAGTCAGTATTGTTGCCTCCGATATTGCCAATGCCTTATAAGTATGGAAGAAACTGGCCGTAAACTTCATAGATAAGACCAATTGTGGATATACGACTCCAAGAGTCGATTGTTTTTAAAAGCTTAATACAATATGTTAGTATTTTTTATGAACAGCATTTTTCCTGAAAGAATTTGAATCGTGTATTCAGATTTTGTGTTTGTTTTATCATTCCAGTCTGCTTCGGAAATCAAATTCGAACTTGTAATGTATTAAAATGAAAATTGTATTTTCTTTTTTTTTTTCATTGTAAATAGAATTTTATGTTATTTTTGTGTGTATTATATGATATTTGTTTATATTATTATTGAATGATATTTGGTTCTGTAATTAATTTTAATTGAAAGTAATTGACAAGAAACTGGACGATTGACTAAGGGTAGTGGTCAGGAATAATGATGAAATTGATTTTTTTAAAGGGGTACAGCCGTACAGTGTCACTTAAAACCGAAAAGTTCGCATAAGAACGAAACCAGTAGGTTTGTAAGAGAAATCTCGGACGGCTACTCGCCACTTTTTCCAATTATATTTTATTTTTGACATTCAGAGCTTACAAAGTTCATGTAGTTCATTGTTTTATGGCTACTGAATTTTACATAAGGGAGTTAACTTGTAGCATTTAACAAGCATTTAACGTCAACTGTTGTGCTAAACAAATAGCAGTTTCAATGTCAATTATTTGGAAACAAATAGGGAATTAAATTGATACTGATGCAGACTTGTGTCGTAAAAAAACCTTTTTAAGTAATAAATTAATGATGGAATCATTCCTGGTTCATCTGTCCAGTTTTATCAAGGGCTACATTTGATGGTCTTTGTTTCTAGGAAAACGGGGTCCATATTTTACTGATTTTTATGAGAAAAAAAAAATTAAGATTTCCACAAGATGGTTTTAGGGGCCCACAATACTCTAGTGGACAGGACCTACATGTATATTAGGGACCCAGCTGGTTGGACAGGACCTACATGTATATTAGGGACCCAGCTGGTTGGATAGGACCTACATGTATATTAGGGACCCAGCTGGTTGGATAGGACCTTTGTATGTATTGTTGGGACCCGATTACAGACCAGGTATCCTTCATAAACGCCCCCCCTTGATAAAATCATATCAATTTTAATTGTTTTAATTGAATCTGCCATGTCTAATTGATTGTTGATAAATGATGTTAAAATTGTTGATAAATCTGTGAAATAAACATTATTCATTGTTCCTTATTGTTTTTGGAAGCCACCCTGGCTAGTCTGGCGATCACAGGTTCGCTCTCTGAATTGGCTGAGAAAGTTCAATGTGGTTTTCCGGCGTGATTTCCCCTTGTCAGTGGAGAGGGCCCGAGAAGGACAGCTGTCCAGTCATTCAATGGACGAAAAATCTAGGTCCTGTGTACACATTGGCGTGCACATAAAAGATCCCTTGGCAGTTGGAATTCCATATAAGAGTAAGCCGTGGTGCCACTGTATGGTGTATGCCTGTCTTCATTAGCCCAGTGAGAACAGAACAGTAGGACGTTAAACCCCATTTTATTGTTTTAAGACTACGGGCATGGGCAGCATGGGGTTCGGGATGCCACCTCATCAAGTGATAGAGAAATGGGGTTTATCATTAACAAAGAGTTTTACCCTGTAGAAAACCAACTCAAGTGATAGAGAAATGGGGTTTATCATTAACAACCTGTAGAAAACCAACTCATCAAGTGATAGAGAAATGGGGTTTATCATTAACAACCTGTAGAAAACCAACTCATCAAGTGATAGAGAAATGGGGTTTATCATTAACAACCTGTAGAAAACCAACTCATCAAGTGATAGAGAAATGGGGTTTATCATTAACAACCTGTAGAAAACCAACTCATCAAGTGATAGAGAAATGGGGTTTATCATTAACAACCTGTAGAAAACCAACTCATCAAGTGATAGAGAAATGGGGTTTATCATTAACAACCTGTAGATAACCAACTCATCAAGTGATAGAGAAATGGAGTTTATCATTAACAAAGAGTTTAAACCTGTAGAAAACCAACTCCACTCTGCAATTGTTTTTTTTTGATGTACCTTCTCTCTTTCATCAAATACACATGGCGTGTAAAACAGTGTTACCATTGTGTCGGGCGCCATCCAAATCGGGTGGGTGGGTCAAGAGACTTAATGGTCTAACGCATGCGCTTTAGAGAGAGAGAGAAATGGGGTTTAACATCCACTCGACACAAACTAGGTCATTTCGGGACTAACACATGGTTTAATTTTTTATTTCAATAATTCGCTTGCGCTTAGGGGTCTTTAGCAGTGGGAGGAAATGGGGGACCCAGAGAAAACCCACGAGGTTGGACAGACGAATGCGCTTTAGATCACAGGGTCTGTCATTGAGTCAAGTGGCATGGTTTTGATTCCCAGCTTGCACGTGACGAGAAGTTTTGTCTGTCAGTCCCTTTGTGTTTTTTCGGGTTTACTCCCACTGCTCAGGATCCCAACACGCAAGCGAATTTTACAATGTCAAGGGGTAGTTTTAAAGCGAGAATTTCATATTTTCTAAGAAAGTCAAAACCTAATTATTTCTATGTCTTTTGCTCAATAGGTTGTCAACTCACTATTATACCATCATAGATATCATTCTCCCACTTATAATTCCTTGACCCCGGAAATAATAACAATTACCTCCCTTGTTATTCTATTCCCCCCCCCTCCCCCATGGAATAGCTATCTTCAAACGTTTGAATTTGAAGTTGAAAATGATATTTTTGCCAATTTCTCAACTAGCAATAGTGAATTATAGGATTAATAGGATTATTCTTTAACAAGGTAGGACTGTTTATAGATACCATCTATTTTAAGACTTTATTTTAATACATTTTAAAAATATAACTTAAAAATATGAAATTGCAACTTTAACGAAGGGGTTGTTTAAAATATTAAACATACATTATGCAAGAGCTAAATCTGATTATTGCAAGTCTTTATTTAGGCTTCAGATGTCACAAAATCAACTCTGTAGACCCACTGTAACGTTGACTGTCATACTCCCGGAAATTTTAGATCGAGGCTAAATGAAATGAAAGAGTGTACGAAGCGAGGCCGCTGTTGAGCGAGGCCGCATGTCAGTCAATTTGATTGAAAGTTCGATATATACGGCCTTGATATTATGTTTAGTTGTGGTTAAAATGAGAGTTTGCATGTCGGTATTATACACTCTTTTGTCACTTGCATTTACAGAAAAATTATGGAAATTGATAAACATCGCAGCTAACATCACCCCAGTTGAATTGCAGCCCCATTGGATCACCGTTTCCTATTTCATTTGTCTGCTTCGGGAGTTACGTAGGCCGACCAGTTACAGTAAAAGAGTACACGCAGGCTAACAAGAAGTCGGCTATAATTATGCCTCATCGATTTGGTCCATACCTTTCAAACTTTCGCTTCTTATCTATATATTAAAAGTCTTATTTTTAATTTGTAGTAAAAATAAATCTGATACAAATTGAATTGCAACCTCGTCTCAAACAGATAGGCTAACGGTACCACAGCCATTGAAAACGTTACTTGATAATCGAGATTATGTAGGTGGAGTTAACGCCTGTCAATCAAACGATCGGCCATTCTCGGAGACTGTAAAGAGAGAGTTGACTCCTATTTCTAGTCAAAAATTACAATGGTGATAACTTTGTTCAGAATAAAGTAATTTGACTGAAATTTTCAATTTATTCTTCTTTGGTCATCTATTTTTGAACTGTTATAGTAAGAATGGCCAACTCTCTATTAAAATCTCCCATAATGTATCTTTAAATAAAAGATTAAATATCAACACATCTCTCCAATTATTTATTTATGATTTTAATATTTCAACAAATATATTTAAATCAATTAGAACCCAATTATCTGTATCCTCGGACCCATTCAAGAAAACTTAAATAAAAATATAAGAATGCAGTCTTTTCACTGGCTAGGAGATAATCTTTGAACCAATGACCTTAGTGTTCAGCCAATGAACTGCCAGTATTTCAGTGATCAGCCAATGAACTGTCAATATTTCAGTGATCAGCCAATGAACTGTCAGTATTTTAGTTCAAATGAAATGGGGTTTAACATCCTACTAGGCTAATGAAGACAGGAATATGCCATACGGTGTGCTATGAGGAAAATTTTACCCAGCCCACTCTTTTATTGGATTCCAATTGCCAAGGTTTCTTTTAGTTTTACATGCACGTCAATGTGTACACAGGACCTTGGTTTTCCATCCCATACTTGTCCGACCCTTAGTTTTAATAAATAAGACCCCTGTTGATAAATTATAATAACAACTCCCTATAGTTATCAGAAGCTAAATACTGATTTAAACATATAATTATTAAAATCATATTTAATAAGGGTCGTTTTTCGGCAGCAACCAACTAATTAGGCTATATAGTAATCCAGGTTTATTACATACATCGTTTTACTGATTTAAGTTTTTCCGGTTTCATTTTCTGGGAAATTTCCTGGTTGAGATGTGATAATCATAATCTTAACTCTAGAATATCATTCAAAGCTTTTAACACTCAATATGGTGGAAATATTTCAACCCAATTCCAATGTAAATAATCGTGTATTTTACAACCATAAAATAACTTGTACCAGTGAACAAACGGAGACCTTCACGTTTATAAAATTGTACAGGAGCCATAAAAAGGAACCAAGATCTTTTAAACTGCGTAAAAATTTCAAAATGAACCAAGATCTGTGGAAGATCAACCTATACTTCAAGTTTTGTCAAAATCGCATAAAAATTGCAGCCTGTACAGTGTCCACCCAAAAAATTGTGGATGGACAGATGGAGTCCTCACTCCCTATGTTCATTTCTAAACCAAAAAAATGTGCCCCAAATGCTCCAGGTCAGATTGGGTTTGAATATATTAGGATAATATTTGTGTAGACAATGGATGGCTTAAGTTCACAGTAATAAATAGGCTTAAAGCAATGGTTTGTAGCAAGTCAAAATAAACAAAAAAAATCATTATTAAAATAATAAATATATGAATATACAGTGCTGACGAAATATAAAAAATAACATTAAGAAACTAAAAATGTCCTACAACATGTAACTATTTATTATTTTATAAAACAGACGAGAAAGAGGCTATTTCAACAATTCCTACTGATTGGTACAAAAATGATCTTCAACTAAATCAGAGATATGCAAACACTGTAACCAAGGTATCATTTAATCTTGTACAGTAGAATCTGTATGAGCAGCCACTCCTATTCAGCGACATCTTCTTGTAAGCGGTCACAATAAATTCCCCCCATACAAAAATCTGTTGTTTCATCTCTTTATTCAACGGTCACTCCTTTAACGCTGCCACTAATAAATTCAACAAAACATCGCCCATTCAACGGCCATTGTTGAATGATACCATCTTGTCATTCTTTGTAACACCCTCGCTAATCCCGTGAGTAGTAGTTAATTAACTGGACCCCAACTGATCAGGTAAAAAGAAATATAGAAAACAATCAACCCGGGATTATCTGTTAATTAATCTTTTGTTTTATTAAACGACTAGCCTGATCATTGTTTTCACCCGTAACGACACATTATTTGATACTGATTGAATAAAATAAAAGTACCGAGTTTTGTCACGATCATCTATATAGTATCTCTTTTCCATTGCCACTTTGTTGTTAAACAGACGTTTTAGCGCCTCCTATAATATTATACACAGAGTTACACCCCCTGTAAATAGGTGATAAAATCAGCGATGGTTTTTTGTTCATGTGCTTTTTTGATAAAATAAAATTAATTCATCGATTTTCTTTACAAAAATGGCTAAATATTATCGAATGCATCACAATGGTAGACAGTAGTATCGAAGGTTGGTACAAAATGACAAGTTTACACTATTTGCTGTTACTAATGATGACCAATCAACCGATGTTTTGAAGAGCCGACTGTCACCTCAAAATTAACAATCTACCACATTTTATAGACAAATTTACTAAAAAAAAATTATTTAAATTCGCAATAATTTCATGTCGCAATAATTTTTTCCCCACTATAGAAATTCGCAATAATTTCATGTCGCAATTATGTTTCACCACCCCAACTCGCAATAATTTCATGTCGCAATAATTTCATGTTTTACAGTAGTCAGCTTTAAACTGGACACAAGTACAAATTAGATGATTTTTGGATATTTTAAACGATTTTTACAAATTTTTAAACAAGGATTTGATATTGAATAAATGTGAAAAATATTAGTGCTAGATACACAAGATTAAATGATACTCAGGTTACAGTGAAATTAATTGTTTAATCTAAATTTACAATTAAATTTGTAGGGTTCAGTAATATGTTGCTCAAAGTAAGCATTTGCGATAACAATTTTGAAGTTATATTTATTTTCTTCATGAAAGTCGCAATGGCCCTTTAAATCGTCCTGTTGTTAGATTGGTTTATCGGCCGATATTTGTACACAAACTTGGAAACCAATATTTACGTCCGTTGCTATCTTGATCATCAACCCATGCTAAACCTTGTTTAACCATAAACTCTAACGCTCGACATGCACGTTCAACTTCCCACTTAAAATTCTGTGTCAAGTCAACTTGAGAAATGAAACCATTTTTCTGAGCTTGCTGTAAAATTTTGGTATGATCCATACTCAACTCTCCTGGAACCGACTGAACAAGTGCCGACGATCCCATACTTATCACCGTGAATCCACTACCCAGAATTTTCAGTTTTCTAATGGCGCGATATAAATCGTCTATACTAATATTCTGAGAGTTACGTCCACGGGCATGTTCAACTCTTTCCCTCAACTCTTCAATATTAATCAACCCACCATTTTTAGGACTAGTCGCAATACAGACTTCTACAATCTGAATCGCTAACTCGTAATAAAAATCTCCGACGCCCAACATCTCGGCCCAGAATCCTTTACTGGATGCAAGAGGATCTACACCAATGGATGCACACATCTCTTGGAACTGGAGACGGAATTCTGGATCTTTTTTTATATCGTCCTTATGTTTACGTGCGAAATCTTCCAGATTGGTTTTAAATGTATCCATCTGCTGAGTCATCTGGGCGAATTTATCTTCAGCTATCTCTGTTCCCTTATCTTTATATTTCGCCTGGGCCAAGTTTTTATTCTTGATGGCCCCAAGTCCAGCTCCGCGACGATGCATTTTTTTAAAGTGTAACTGTTATTTATTTTAAATAAAAATATTTAAATGTCACTACAAACTCTGTTTTTTCACAAAGTTTAAATATCACTTGACTTTATGTCTAATCTTGTTGCATCATTGATGTCACAATGTTCTCAAAATTCCTGAAAGTTGAAAATTAAAATGAAATGATATTTAAGTCATTTTTAAACAATGAATATTTTGTATGTTTACAATAATTGTAATGATGGCAGGTATAATATGGGGGTGATGGTTTTCTGACATTTGAAACAGTATTTACAAACTTAAACAGAATATCGCGGAAAGACCATTTTAGTTTTACACAAAATCTATAAAACATTTACTGGTTATGTTATATTTTCTTAAATCCACCCCCCCCCAAACAATTAAATCCACCCCCCCCCCCCCAAACAATTAAATCCACCCCCCCACCCCCAAACAATTAAATCCACCCCCCCAAACAATTAAATCCACCCCCCACCCCAAACAATTAAATCCACCCCACCCCCCAAAACAATTAAATCTTGATAAGTAAGTAATTTCAATATCAGAATTACATTAAAATTCTGATTGCCTTATTCGGCTTCAAATCAGGCCAAACAGTTGCAAAAAGATAATATTACATAAAACGCAAAGTTCTATTTCAGGAAACAGGAGAGATTGGAATTCACAAAGTTTAATATGGATTTCTGTATTTTGGGAAGTGGAAAATCATCAGCCTGTGTATATAATCATACTAGCGGTTGACCCAGCGTAGTATGGGTATAACCATGAACCAGTAGTACTATAATCAGCGGTTGACCCGGTATAGACATGAACTAAAGGTACCATAACTCTGAAACCGGAAGTGGCAGCCCATCGCCACCAGGTCTATGGCAATACCTAGCACTAATAAATTGTGTTATATATGATAAATGTTCGTACCTGGATGTGATATTTTCACCTGGTGTATAAAATGGATTACACAACATATCTACATAAGCATTGTGAAGCTTCTTGAACATCTGAAACAGAAAATAAACCATAGAATACACTTCAAAACATTGTCAACACCAACACCAGTCAAGGTTTCAATTCAAAACAATGTCAACACCAACACCAGTCAAGGTTTCAATTCAAAACAATGTCAACACCAACACCAGTCAAGGTTTCACTTCAAGACCTCTAGTTTACAGGCATGTCAAAACCAACACTAGTCAAGGCTTCACCCTATATCTCTAAATATGATCACGTGTGCTGGATATAAAGAACTTGACTAAAAAATGTTCACGTGGTAACTTTTCATACCAGGAATGTTTTTTTTTTAAAGTGATTTTCTATTCAGGTTTACTTTCCTTTCCTACACCAACCATCCTATTGAAGAAAGGCCTTACAGTATATTATTTTGTCCCATGGGGCATTCCATGTCAAGTGTACACAAAATTTGGGCGATTTTGACATGACCTTCACAGATTTTGATGATTTTTGGTGTGCAAGTTAATCATGACGACAGAATGTGATGTGCACAATTTTAGCGCTGGGGGTCCCATGGGGCCCTGGGACTTTTCGGCTGACCTTCAAACTTTGAAAATCCATAACTTCGCCCCTAGTAATCCTACTTATGAAATTGGTATCAAAGTGATCTTTCTAATGACCGGAAGCACAAACTCGACAGAACAAAATCCAGGCAGATCGTGTTTGACTCTGACCTTTGAACCCACACCCCCGAAAAGGGGCAGATTCGATTTGGCCAATTTTTCATGTGAACATTGCCCCACCTATAAATTACGAACACACAAAAAATCAAAGTGGGATCGCCATGGAAACAGATTTGATGGACATCTGGTCTATTTGAGGTGAACACTGGGATTGAACTTGGGACCTCCACGTTAGAAAACCAGCTTTTTACTCACGGAGAACACCTGCTCGTATATTGTAGATATATTATAGATATATAAAATATACTCAACTGTTCTGATGTCATTATCCCGTAAAGTTGTATTGGTTGATTCTAAAACTAAAACAAACTTGACTTTCGTGTTGGTTACGTAACCATATCTATGTACTGGTTAATCAAATATAAAATACAGATCTTTTCTTCTCTTTATTTCCAGTACCGTACAAAATATTTAATTTTTAACTCTTCAGTATTGATAAATAAGCAGTGACGCAGGTCTTGTGAATCATGTTTCATTAAAATATTAAAACATAAAAATTAAAACTCAAATGTTTTCAGAAGAGCCTGCAAGAATTGGTTTTTATTGTTTTTAAATTTAAAGATCTATTTTGGGAGATTAGATAAGGAGCTGGTAATTCTCACTATAATAGTTAAAAACTAGATATTGTATAGGGAATTCTCACTATAATAGTTAAAAACTAGATATTGTATAGGGAATTCTCACTATAATAGTTAAAAACTAGATATTGTATAGGGAATTCTCACTATAATAGTTAAAAACTAGATATTGTATAGGGAATTCTCACTATAATAGTTAAAAACTAGATATTGTATAGGGAATTCTCACTATAATAGTTAAAAACTAGATATTGTATAGGGAATTCTCACTATAATAGTTAAAAACTAGATATTGTATAGGGAATTCTCACTATAATAGTTAAAAACTAGATATTGTATAGGGAATTTGCTGAAAATTTCATTCAAATTGATCCACCCCTGAACCGAGTATTTATCGAATAAATTTTGGGCCTAGCCTCGATCATCATTACTAAAGTTGGTATGATAAAAAACATAATCTTGATTATCCATTTTTTTATTTAATCAGAAGCAGCAGACCAAGTTCTAATCCAGTAAATATCGCAGGCTAGTGATGTCATCGAGAGTTGATTGATCTCGATAGGTTAATTAATGTCTAATTAATAATTTAGATAACATTTAAGGCCTAAAGAAAGACCTACGATAGACAGATTTAGCTCTTGCATAATATGTTTAAAGGATACACTTTATAATCTTCAGTTGGGTACAGTAGGCCTAAATATAGTTCTCGAGCTTCTGTTGTATTTTTACCAATGGAGCTAATTTTCTCTTCAACAACATCTAGTGAGGTATGAACTGTGTAATAAAATTTCAATTCGTTCTCTGTTGGTATGGTTTTAATAAACAGTGGATAGTTCTGAAAATAAATCATAGATTTGTGAGGATGATCGATTAACACTTAAAGTTAAGATATCTTTTGAATTTAAACCTTTAACAGGTTTGGTTTGGCACAAATCCAGACTCTATCGGGCACAATGTCTCTGGTCCCTGCTATGTTGTTCCGTATCGATTTGTATTTTTCGCAGTGTTTTAATTGATATATTTAATTTTGTGCGGAAGATTGTGGGGTCACAAAGAGTGCATGATCAGTGTTTCCGCTAGCTTTAAAAAATTACCGGTACATCGTACCGGTAGAGGTCAAAAATACCGGTCCACTCGTAATTTTACCAGTCTGATGAAAACAAAATTTTACTGCTAATTATTCTTGTAAATGTATTCAAATAAATAAACCTTTCATTGAAACATGTTGTGAAAATTTGAACACATTGTGAAAATAAGCCAGGCGGATCTCGTCATGGATTGTATTGTGAATCTCGAGAATCGCGCGTCTTTGATTGACGCTCCTTATGAATTCCAGGTAGATATTAAAATAATAATTGGATCATAGATGTGATGGTTTCACAGACCAGTTGTTAGTTCAATTTAAATCTTCATTGAATATAATCCACTGATAGAACACCGAATATTCTGAGAAACAGTCATTAATAACATATTTTTCGGAATACCGATGACACATGACATCGCTGGAATTAGGTCAATGAATCGGCGAAGTTAGCTTTAGTTTTAAATACTGTTTAACGTTATGATTTTTTACTTTATCCTACATGCTGACAGAAGCTTTGTTTTATAAATGTTGTCGATATTATTAAAGGCTATGACATAGTCAAAAAAAAAAAGATTTTAAAGAAATTTCAATTGTGGTTGTCACGTGATCATTGTGTCGTTTGTCTATCATCGTCGAATGAATAAAAACTAAAAGGTGACAGACAAAAACTAGGGTGCTAAGATAAACGATTACGCAGACTGCAGAGACGTATATTAAATTTTGCCGACGTAAACCCGTTTTTTCTCTGCTGGAACTACCAAAGTTATAACGATATTTCTTTTGCGTTTGATACGTGTATCACCAGCTCCGTTAAAGGACGAAAGATTCGTCTACTTTGGTGCCATTTTGTGAAGATCATGCAGACATTGAGCAGCGATCTTCAAGACGGAAGAAACCATCATACCGAAGTTACTATAAATAGCACCACTTTTCGACACCCACGGTCAGCACGAGATTTTAGACATGAGTTATGAATGGAAAGATAAAGTTGCAGTTAATTTTGTTGACGTTTATGATTTTCGATCCGTATCATTGTGTACCGGTCCCATGGACCACCGGGAAGATAATTTACCGGTACACGTTAAAATTTACCGGTATAAAACCGGAAAATACCGGTTATCGGAAACTCTGATGATACGAAAATATCCCAATCAACGATGACATCTGAAGTTTGATGTTTTTGATTACATCACGATTCTACTCATCCCATAGCAGTTATAAAGACTGGGCAGGAGGACTGAATATGACGTGGAATATGTTTGATTAGATCACAGATCATCTCACATTGGTTATCAGGATTGACCTGTTCCTTTGGTGTCTCATCTGGCGATATCCCCTAAAAGAAAACTGAAAGACTGAAGTAAAGAATGAAGTGACATGTTTTTTTTTCTAAAGTGGCAAATATCGATCAAAGTCAGAACACTGAATACATAGTATATACTGAACTGAAACTGAAAGATTCACCAGACGACATTTTTGAAATCATCTTTCTTCATCGATGTCTTACTGAATTTATATTATTTTACGCAAGATGGAAGCTATAACCCACGAAGATGGTTCGGCTTTGATGGGATTTAATTAAATATCAACTTTTAACACCTAAATTCACCTCTTTTGCAATAACAGCCACACATACAGCCATAGGGTGGGCAGTGGAAGCCATTTTCTGCAAACAGCCAATCAAATGCCTTTATTGCCGGAAGTAGAGTAAAGGAAAGCAATAAACCGGAAACACGTGATCACGTCTACTCTCCCGCCATCTGAGGGTTTCCGCTGCTTCGACAAAAAAAAAGCGAAAACATCGCAAAATGTCGAATTTACGCGTCGATAAAGACGCATTCTTTCGTCGTATGAAGAGAGTTTACTCTTCGTGGGCGGTAAGTAGTCTACAAAAATGAACCGCTTTCATTTGCCAAAACTTTTGTCTTCCAGTAAGTAAATGTATCACGATTTTCGAAAAGGCAATGTTGACGTTTCTATTTATAGTAACACATGCTTTTGCAAGTGAAGGAACATTTACCCACAACCCCCCAAATGCAAAATGCTACAAAATTAATGTTGCAATTTCATATTTTTTAAGTTCTTTTTTTAAAATTTATCAAAATAAAGCCTTAAAATAGATGGTATCTATAAACAGTCCTACCTTGTTATAGAATAATCCTATAAATCCTATAGGCCTAGTTCTAGGGGTTTCAGGTCACGTAAAACCGAGGTCCCGTGTACACATTGGCGTGCACGTAAAAGATCCCTTGGCAGTTGGAATTCGATATAAGAGTAGGCCGTAGCGCCGCTGCCCGGGCAAAATTTCCCTCATAGCACACTGTATGGCGTATGCCCGTCTTCAATTAGCCCAGGTTAGGTGCAGAAGCGTAGGACGTTAAACAACATTTCATTCATTCAGGTCACGTGACCTTAGCGTGAAATCGGACAGCCAGCGGCTGAAATATAGCCCACTTCGATCTACGATTCTGAATTACTATTTTATGTAAATGCATTACTAGCAGTTGTATTGCAATAGTTTAATATCAATCTCAATATCTGCAAAGATTCAGGCTAAAAAATTATCGAAATGTAAGCGAAATTACTGTTTGTTTACATGAGACGCTCGCGGGAAAATACCGCTCTGACGTCACGCGGCCTGAGATTTTCCATTGCTACGACTCACTTCATTGGTGAATCCGCAGCTTAGTTACCGGGGGATTTTGATATAGAACCAATCAAACGACAGATAACATTTTTGTGGTTATTATGGTTGTTGATACCACGTGATCGGACAAGTAGACCCGTAGAAAATGGGATTTATCTGTTTTGATGACTGAAAATTGCCAAATTTCGACTAAATATAAAAAAACTTTCTTGAGGTATCATCCAGATTATAAATATTTGACATATTATCATTTAAATTATTACGATTTTAATAAATTTTAGCGGACAATAACGTGCGGATTTCAGTTTTAAAATTGGTACTAGCGATTCTGAAGGGAAAATACCGCTTATGACGTCACTCAAATATGACTGAAAAGCACTTATTTTGGTGCCATGCCACGCATTGACTGGTATAGAGCATTTTGATTACATTATTGACGTCGATCTCGGATTTTAAAATTCCATAACGTTGGATCTAATTAGAATATTTTGATGAAATAAAAAAATTTGGGTAGCATTTTATGTATATTTTCACAAAATATTTTTAAAAATTTTTTTTCTGTCATTTGAAACTTTGACCTGAAACCCCTACTAGTTCACTATTGCCAGTTGAGAAATTGGCAAAAATATCATTTGCATCTTCAAATTCAAACCTTTGAAAATAACTACACTCCATGGTGGAGAATAGAAAACAAGGGAGGTAATTGTGTTATTATTTCCGGTGTAAATGGGTTTTAAGTGCGAGAATGGCATACCAATGATCGTATGATAGTGAGTTGACAACCTATTGAGCAAAAGACATAGAAATAATTATGTTTTGACTTTCTTAGAAAATATGAAATTGTAATTTTAAGACCAAAATCGCAAGGCAATGCAAACGGCAGTGAAATGGGAGGATACTGTACACAAACATTACATGTTATAAAAGGCGTTTTTAACCGAAAAAAACAACAAATCGGTTTCGATTACCCATCTAATATCTCATTGAACATATTAGGTCATTAGGTGAGTCTCGGGTTGATATTCGAATCAGTTCTCGTAAATGCAACGATTTGCCTCGCAAGATGGCTAAAGACTGAAGAATTCAACGGTTATGTAAAACCGATCAGGCTAATTTTTGCCGTAAACATGATTGAATGGTATTTGCAAATTGATTATTAGCTATAATTATAATCTTTTTCTCGTAAAAACGCCTCATGTACACTGTTCCTTCACATCCTTGCCCGAGTCTCTGTTCAGCACCACCAGTTTGCAGAGTACATGTATGTTCGCTACACTAACATGCACAGGTAATTCTTTTCTGAGACTGTTTTATTTTAGATTTTCTTTAGATTTGCACGTCAGTAGTTGACATTTTTACCTTGCCTAAAACGACTAATCTGTACTAATTGTCAGGTTTTCCATAATCCTTTGTCAATTTGAAATAGATAATAGTTATCATATCCGACATGCTGGCAGAAGGATTTCAAATTTTAATTCAGCGCACCATATTGTAAACCTTTTTCAGGGGTGGCAACTACATGTACCACAACAGTGTCAAATTGTTGTGTATGACTAATAAACATGTGCACTGGTTGCTACAATTTCAAATTTCGATGGTACTTTTTTTTTTAAATTGCACACCAGGCTAAAATTACGAATGTATTTAATTTGTTCTTGCTTGAAGTTTTAGCTTGCACGGCACGCGGGAATTTATTAAGCATTTTGATGGCGTGTACTAGATCTCGAAATTGGACAGCAATTAAAGACAACATTGTCTTATATGCAATGAATTCTTCTTCGTCTTGGCAACCATTACTAGTTACTGCGACGGCCAAAGCATGTAACACAAACATGACTTCTTTAAATTAAATAGATTTTTTATACCTTGGGATATTGAAGCAATTTTTGATAGATTTAGTTTGAATAAACTTTTAGTCGAGATACATGTAGGTCATCAAATCACATGGAAAGGTTTAATTCTATATTGTAGAAATCAACAGGAGAAGATGGTCTGGCTAAAATGGATGCCTTGGTTACGGCTGTTGGTGTGGATGAAGACGTGGTATATTCTAAATCAACCTCACTTCAGGTAAAATACAGGCCAATCAAATTATTATTATGTTTTTCACATCAGAATTTAATGTTGAGGTCATTATCGGCATCTGGTACAGACCATGAAATAATGTTTTGTTATATCTGATTTATATTAGAATATCTAATTTATATTGGAATATTTGATTTATATTAGATATTTTTCTATTTTGTTTTCTTCTGAACAATTTACAGACATGAAAATAATATTTTGTTGTATCTGAGAAAATAACCGACACCCTTGAAGATTGGTCTGACTTAACCAGAATTAGTGTTTTATTAAAATAGATCAAAAAATTTAATAAGTACATTTTCTGTAAATAAAGAAACCCCTCCTCCCCCCCCCCCCAACAAAAAAAGAAACCCATAACAATTTCAGATTGTTTCACTAACCCTAGCTGTATTTTTCGACATACGCTTAAAAGTACAATGTACAATTGACAGTGGAAAATCGAAAATAAGAATAGGTCAGAGCCCTGTTGGTTGTGTAAAAATGGCTAACGGTACAATGTTAACCCCATTTGATTTCTATTCATTTCAAATGTGGGTAAGGCGCTGGCTCGCTAGTCTGGCAATCTTGGGTTCGATCAGGTGTAGACTGAGAAAGTTCATCGAAATCTTCCCCTTGTCATTAATACAGGACGGAGGATCTGGCAGGGACAACTGTCTAGTCGTTTGGTGGGTACGAAAAAGTGAGGTCCTGTGTTCACATTGATATGCACGTAAAAGATCCCTTGACAGTTGGAATTCGATATAAGATCAGCATGTAGTGCTGCTGTTTGAGCAAAATGTTCCCCATAGCACAGTGTATGACATTTTCCCGTCTTCATTAGCCCAGTTGTAACAGAACAGTAGGACGTTAAACTTTATTTATATTTCAGACGTGGTTATTTGGATATGAGTTAACAGATACTATAATGGTTCTGTGTGAGAGTGGTATTTATATATTAGCCAGTAAAAAAAAAATAGATTTCATGAAACAAGTAAAAGATGGTGAACATGATGGTGTACCAAGTATTAAATTATTGACAAGAGATAAGGTTGGTTTGAACTACAAGCTAGATTCCTTAATTAGGAGTTTCTAAATACCCTGAATCTGTAAATTGTTAACAAATATGATCATACTAAGGACCAGAAACTGACCATGTTGTTAGATGAAATTCAAAAATCTAATTCACCAAGTCGATGCAGAATTGTTCAGAGAAGAAGCATGCCACTTTTCATGTCGATCGGACTTGAATTGACAGCACCTTAGACTTTTTCGAAGAGCGTCTCCCCAAGAACACAATGAGTAGCAGTTAGCAACCACTTCCTGGTCCCCCCAAAAAAATAGCTTGCTTGTTCAGGAGTTTCGTGAAACCAGAAATACAGTATAACTCTGGAATTGGTGGTAAAGCACTGCTAGGCCTGTCACAACCCAGTTCGAGCTGCCTTTATATTGTGCTCAAAGTTTCAGCTCCAGACGGCTCTGTTGTAGCTGACAACCCACGAACATGAAAAGACAAACTATCGCACTGTCTCAGATATATACAGAAATATATCATTTTCAAAGGTTGACAAAAGTAGAAGAATGTCTTAGTAAGTCATGTTGAAAATACTCATACTGAATTTTACTAGACTATATTTCTCTCTCTGGACAGCCGTGATAGTGCAGCCACCTCTGAAAAAATTTGTATACAAGGTTGAGAAATATTGCTTTAAGCTGTTGTGTAATTTCAGGGAGACAAAGATCATGCTAATTTCAAATCTTTAGTGGAAGCCATTAAAAACAGTAAAAAGGTGAGGACTGAATATAAAGTATTGACGTTAATATATAAAACAACGTTTACATTGAATAATATAATATTGGTGTATCTACAGACTTGAAATAACTAAGTCTTTAACTCAATATCATCCACAATCTTCCACATTGAATACACAAATTATTTGTCAATTTAAATCAACATTGATGTTGTGATCTTACCGGGAAAAGATGCGCTTCTGTTATCCAATATTTAAGACAAAATAAATATTTTACCATTGGTACACAAATCGTGTAGCAGAATGCATTTCTCTGCCATTTTTAACAAGGGACTCGAACGACGTTAGACATATTCCACAAGTCATGTCAAACCGTGGCGCCATATTCTTATCTCGATGGCATGCGCACTAAATAATACCAGTGTAGAATAGAATAACCAGACGCTAGAGATTGTTTTGTTTATCAGGGAGCCATGGTGGTCCAGTGAGTAGGACGTTGGCTTGCTAACCTGGAGGTGCTGTTTTTAATCCCTGCGTTACCTGAAAAAGTTCATCGGGATTTTCAGACGAGGTTTCCCCTTGTTAACGGATGTAGGGCGGAGGTCCTGTGTACACATTGGCTTGCACATAAAAGAACCCTTGGCAATTGGAGTTCGAAATAAAAGTAGGTTGTAGCCCCACTGTTCGGGCAAAATTTCCCTCACAGCACACTGTATGGCCATAGGCGTACTGGGAAATTTTTGACTGGGGGGCGGTGGTGGTTGGTGCCCAAAAAATGTAGTTAGGTTCTTAGTATGTTACATAATAGTAATAAATTTGCTGTTAAATTGGACACATTCAAGAACACAATATTTTTTTTTATACAAATTTTACAAAGTACAATTGTGTGCCCAAATTTTCCCAGCATTTGGTGCCCAAAATGGGGGGGCAGCCGTCCCCCCAGCCCGCCCAGCTCGTACGCCTATGTGTATTACACATATAGAACAGTAGGAGGTTAAACTACATTTTATTTTATTTATCAGGGTAAATGTTACGGAGAATTTGCGAAAGATAAATTTCCTGGTGAGTTTTTGGACAGTTGGCGAGCTGCATTAAAAGATGCAGAATTAGCAAAGGTTGATGTATCGGTAGCGTTTGCTTACATAATGGCGTCGAAAGAAGAAGCAGAGCAGAAGACAATTCAGCGAGCATGCCAGGTGACCTGTGATGTGTTTAATAAATATCTTAAAGAACAAATCATGGAGATAATTGACGCAGAAAAGGTTGGTTATATTTAACAAATACTTGCGTTTATATACGCCCACATTGAGTTTAATGGTTTGCGATGATTACTGCCCTTGTTCTTGATTTGCATTTATGGATTGAAAGTTTTAAAATGGACACACGGCTAACATACCACAGGGGAGAATAGTACTGGTGTAGACTGCCATTCAATTTGGACTCTTCGCCTATTTCGCCGAACGTAACTGATTTGAAATTCCAATAAAAACTGAAACGATTGAATGTTATTAATACATTATTATATGCGTTGCGACCTATTTGTGTCAATTTCTAGGTGCCAATTGATAGCAATTTAGCTCCTTTAATGAGTAATAGTTTGTTTTTGAATGATTTTTACGAATTTTTAAACAAAGAATTGATATTAAACGAATGTGAAAGAAATTAGTGCTAGATACACAAGATTAAATGATACCTTGGTTACAGTGGATGTTTGCTATTTTACAGTTTTTGAATCCCCATTAAACTACAATATTCAGTAGTTATGTAAATAAACCACATCTTTAATATTGATTGATAACTGTCAATATGTTCATAGGTTATTATTGATACGAGAGTAATGTTATTTTATAGAAAGTGAAACATTCTAAGTTAGCTGATGGTGTAGAACAGGCTTTACAGAACAAGAAATATGTTACAGGGGTAGATAACTCTCAACTAGACATGTGTTATCCAGCTATTATACAGAGTGGAGGAAATTATAGTCTAAAATTCAGTACAGTAAGGTAAACTTACTTCTTTTCTTATAAAATTTACTGTTTGATCACTGCATTGGCTGAAAAGGTCCATCTGAATTTTCTGGCTTGGTTTCCCACTTGTCAGTTGTGAAGGACAGCCTGGCAAGGAGTAACGTGTAGGCGTTTGGATGGACGAAAAATCATTGGGTTGCATGTAAAAGACCCTTTGGCCGTTGGAATTCAATATGAGAGTAGACAATGGCACCACTCTCCGGGCAAAATGTGGCTTATTGCACACTGTGGCGTATGGCTGTCTTCATTAGCCCAGTTGGAGCAGAACAGAAGGACGTTAGACTTCATTTCATTTCTTTTTGAATTCACCACGGTTACAGGATTATAGAAGATATACGAACGATTCCCTTGAAGTTAGCTTTTTATACAACAAACTGTATGAATACATGTACCTAAAAAAAATTATGGATCTTGGATACTGGGTTTTAATAAAATTTGATGCTAGGGGGCAGTTTAATAGAATATTTATTATACGGCCTAAATAACATATAATTACAGTGATGAGAAATACCTACATTTTGGTGCGATTGTTTGTGCCATGGGAGCCAGGTATAAATCTTACTGCTCTAACATAGTTCGAACTCTATTGGTCGATCCACCAGATCAAATACAGAAAGATTATGAATTTCTCACGTTAGTTCAAGACGAACTTATCGGCAAACTTCAACATGGTAAGTGGAAATTCACAAATTTAACAATCAATATGGACATATCATTTCATTACGTAGTTTTCTTTTAGGAGTTAAATATGCCTTTAGACTTTACATGTAAATTTTATATAAACAAAAATTACGACATTTATAAACGTGACCAGGTTTCTTAATCCTATTTAAAACGAACCGGCCAGAATTTGGTCAAATCAGGTCTCGATAGGAAGTTTTAAGCTTCTATTCCATTTATTATAACCAGACTTCAACAAAAATATTTCTTTGTAATTTATTATGGAGAATGTTGTATTCTAATGTACGTGATTACCACCAAAATAGCAACTAAGAATTTTAATGAAGTTCTGTGATATTTTTTTTTTTTCAGGTGTAAGATTAAGTGAAGTCTACAACGCAGGATTTAGTAAGGTGAAGAAAGAACGACCAGACCTGACAGAAAATCTCATCAAATCTTTTGGATTCGCCATGGGAATAGAATTCAGGGAGGGTTCGTTGCTCATCTCGGGTAAAACAAATGCTCCAGCTAAAAAAGGTAAGTGATATAAACATGTAATACCAGCAGGACACCTGGGCTTCTCTTGTGGCCCAAATTCGGCAGGGGCCCAAGTTCGCTCCGGGGAGCAGGTCATACAGGTTATTTTGATGCCACATATGTTTGGGTTGGAGTATGGCGATGGGTGAACGTACACACTTTGATTTTATTTATATAGATAAAGCTAAGTCTACAACAAATAGTTTCGAGAGAGAGAAATGGGGTTTAATGTCCACTCGACACAAACTAATTTGCTTGCGCATAGGGGTCTTTAGCAGTGGGAGGACCCGGAGAAAACCCACGAGGCTGGACAGGCGATCCTACTCCCTGTCACGTACAACCGGGGATTAGAAACCACGCCAGTCGACTCAATAACGGACTTTATGATACAGCGTGCGCACGCTAACCATTCAGCCATCCAACCCCCCAAATAGTTTCGAAGTAGAAAAGGTGTTTACAGTGCACTCAATACATAATTATAGCCATCTTCATTAGCCCGGTTGTATCAGAACAATAGGACTTCATTTATTACAACTCACTGGGCACTTGACTATATCGACTAGAGTCTCTTGAGTTCGAATTCTTGATCCAGACCCAGAAATGACTCTCATTGCAGTCTGTATGGTGTGTGTCTGTCTTCATTAACCCACAGACAACCAACTTTCCCCCTTGTACATGGCTGGGATCTGAGATTAAAACCATAAATGACAGTCATTATAACACAGACACAGATTAACAACCCTGGACATATCAGAGACACAAATTATTACACAATGTGCATGTGTTTAGATATTATAATAAAAACTTTATTATAAGTGACGGGTGTCTTCTGTTCCAGCTTGCACATTACTTCACGCCCTCTGACCACAACGTTTATTTGTAGACTATCTACAACTGGTACAGTACAACAGGCCTTAAAGTTAACGTAAAGAGTATTTTATCAGACAATCTGAAAAAGAGATTTAATATAGGGATTGGGGGTCAGGCATTCTTTTAGATATTCATTTTCACCTTGGAAAATGAAATTTGAATCCAACTGTCAAGGGTACATGGTACGTAGACTTTTTATCCGATCTGAATGACCCAACATTGCCCCTTGCCAAACCATCCATTATATACCATTGCAAAAGGTGGAAAACACTGATGAACTTGAGCATGCCAACGTTGTACTGACTGAGGTTTGGAGAAAGTTCTACTTATTACAGGTAAAGGTAAAAGGTACAGGTTTAACAACATAGAAATGTTTTGTGATTCAGGAATGGTATTTAACATAAATATTTTTTAATTAAGGAATGGTATTTATGTTTTGTAATTCAGGAATGGTATTTAATGTAAATGTTGGATTCTCTGGTTTAAGTGTTAAAGATGTCACAGATTCTTCTAAGAAAAATTATGCTTTATTTATTGGTGATACTGTTCTGGTCAATGAGGTAAAATCTTTTTATATGCCTGCATATGTTGTCATATGTTCTGCTGCCTAGCAACCGTTCTGTCATATGTTGTCATATGTTCTGCTGCCCAGCAACCCTTCTGTCATATGTTGTCGTATGTTCTGCTGCCCAGCAACCCTTCTGTCATATGTTGTTGTATGTTCTGCTGCCCAGCAACCGTTCTGTCATATGTTTTCGTATGTTCTGTGGTATGCTGTGGTTCTGCTGCCCAGCAACCCTTCTGTCATATGCCTGTCTTTGTTGGTGTTTGGTGCAATAACGTTGGATGCTAAAACCTATTTCATTATAATATTATTTGTTGTTTACAGAATGTCAAGCCTCGATTATATTATAATTTGTTTACAGAATGCCCCAGCCTCGATTATATTATAATATTTTGTTTATAGAATGCCCCGGCATCGGTTATATTATTATTTGTTATTTACAGAATGCCCCAGCCTCGATTATGACGAACCTTAAAAAGAAGATAAAACACATTGGAATATTTCTGAAAGATGACGACGAGGAGGAAGACGAGGAAGATGAGGAAGTTGATACGTCACAACCTCAAACAGAATTATACGGTCGTGGTAAACGTAATGCTGTATTAGATACAAGGACTAGGGTAAGTTTGATAGAGTCGTGGTAAATGTAATGCTGTAAGAGATACAAGGACTAGGGTAAGTTTGATAGAGTCGTGGTAAATGTAATGCTGTAAGAGATACAAGGACTAGGGTAAGTTTGATAGAGTCGTGGTAAATGTAATGCTGTAAGAGATACAAGGACTAGGGTAAGTTTGATAGAGTCGTGGTAAATGTAATGCTGTAAGAGATACAAGGACTAGGGTAAGTTTGATAGAGTCGTGGTAAATGTAATGCTGTAAGAGATACAAGGACTAGGGTAAGTTTGATAGAGTCGTGGTAAATGTAATGCTGTATTAGATACAAGGACTAGGGTAAGTTTGATAGAGTCGTGGTAAATGTAATGCTGTATTAGATACAAGGACTAGGGTAAGTTTGATAGAGTCGTGGTAAACGTAATGCTGTATTAGATACAAGGACTAGGGTAAGTTTGATAGGGTCGTGGTAAATGTAATGCTGTAAGAGATACATGAAATGAAATGGGGTTTAACGTCCTACTGTTCTGCTCCTAAACTGGACTAATGAAGACGGGCACATGCCATACAATGTGCTATGAGGGAAATTTTGCCCTGGGCAGCGGCGCCACGGCCTACTCTTATATCGAATTCCAACTGCCAAGGGATCTTACGTGTACGCCAATATGTACACGGGACCTCAGTTTTTCGTCCCATCCGAACGACTAGACAGCTGTCCTTGTCAGACCCTCCGTCCTGCATCACTGACAAGGGGAAACCACGCCGGAAAATCTGGATGAACTTTCTCGGCCAATGCAGGGATCGGACACCAAACCTCCAGGCTAGCGAGCCAGCGTCTTATCCACTTAGCCACGTGATCCCCCTGTATTAGATACAAGGACATGGGTAAGTTTTATACGGTCGAGGAAATTGGCCAATTACACATGATAGGGGGTGAGGTTGCCCAATGGTCTAATGTGTAGGCTGTAAATCATAATGTCTGCCATTTCGATACCACACTTGTACGTGACTATGATCACCTGTCTAACCTCCTGAGGGTTTCTTCCACTGTTAATAACATTTATACTCAAGTAAATTATTATAATACGATTGTAACATATTCGTCACAAAATGACATATTTTATGTTGAGTGGACGTTAAACCTCATTTCTGTCTGTCTGATTATAAAAAATGTGAAAAACCAGCAGCCGTCGTCTGGCTCATTTGACTCGCAACCAGCTAGAATTTCTACACCTGGTAATCAATTATTGAAATAAGATTAAACTGTATGTTAGTCCCGAAATGACCTAGTTTGTGTCGAGTGTACGTTAAACCACATTTCTCTCTCTCAATTATTGAAATAAAATTTAACCATGCATTTCTCGAAATGACCTAGTTTGTGTTGAGTGAATGATATTTATAGATTTAAGTACTTCTATGTTTACAGTAAAAAAATAAATTGTTCTATATTAAATATTAACAGTCTCTGTTATCTATATATACCGTATTTACAGACTGAATTATCAACAGAAGAAAAACGACAAGAACATCAGAGAGAGTTAGCTGTTAAAATGAATGAAGATGCCCGTGAGAGATTACGAGGGCAAACCACAGATTCTGGTGATAAAAAGTAATTATTTTGTCTTCTGTTTTAGATTTATGGAATTCTCTGTCTACATGTAAATAAAAACAGGCATCAATTCTCCTTCACCCTCTCTAACCTGCTGGTCCAGAGTTCTAACTTGGTTTGTGAGGAACAGCTTTTAGATATTCAGACATTAGCGTGCGTGTAGAAGAACACTTGGATTCATAATGGCCCACTCTGTACAGACAAGTAGAACATTTAGTCCCATTTCATTTCCCTCCCAGGGGGTGTTGGATGGTCGAATGGTTAGCACGCACGTGCTGCATCATACGGTCTGTCATTGAGTCAACTGGCATGATTTCGAATCCCCGGTTGTACGTGACCAGGAGTAGGGTCGCCTGTCCAACCTCGTGGGTTTTCTCGGGGACCTCCGGTTTCCTCCCATTGCTAAAGACCCCTACGCGCAAGTGAATTATTGAAATAAAATTGAACCTTATGTTAGTCCCGAAATGATCTAGTTTGTGTCGAGTGGACGTTAAACCCCATTTCTCTCTCTCTCATTTCCCTCCCTAAGTATCAGTTAAAAAGATTGTTGTATGTACATGTAATACATATATTTGATTTTATTTCAGAGTACGGAAATCAAACACATCATATAAAAACCCATCAAACTTTCCCAACGAACCTGAAGTTCGTGATTTACAGATTTATGTCGGTAAGTATCAATCATTACTAATTATTGTCCCCCGCCTTATTAGGTCAATGCCTTGATGGAGTTCGAAGATGAGCATTTTCCGCTTAGGGTAAGCAGAGATAAGCAATTTGATTGGTTGATGCTTTGGGACACGATAACTCTCTTCCTAATTGGGCTAGAATGTTCAAACTTGGTGTATGTGTTGATTAGGTCAATGCCTTGATGGAGTTCGAAGATGAGCATTTTCCGCTTAGGGTAAGCAGAGATAAGCAATTTGATTGGTTGATGCTTTGGGACACGATAACTTTTAATTGAGCTAGAATGTTCAAACTTGGTGTATGTGTTTATTAGGTCAATGCCTTGATGGAGTTCGAAGATGAGCATTTTCCGCTTAGGGTAAGCAGAGATAAGCAATTTGATTGGTTGATACTTTGGGGCACGATAACTCTCTTCCTAATTGAGCTAGAATGTTCAAACTTGGTGTATGTGTTGATTAGGTCAATGCCTTGATGGAGTTCGAAGATGAGCATTTTCCGCTTAGGGTAAGCAGAGATAAGCAATTTGATTGGTTGATGCTTTGGGACACGATAACTTTAGTTCTAATTAAGTGAGATTGATGAAACTTGGTGTATAGTTTCATTACAGTAATACCTTGACTAAGTTTGATAATGAGCATTTTCTGCTCAGGGTAAGCAGAGCGATACGCAATTTGATTGGTCGAGACTTTGGAAAACAATAACTCTCGTACTTTGATTGTTAGACTATAAGTAAAGATATACTGTTTGATTGTTCAATACTTTGTAAAAGATAATTTGTGATAAATTTATATGTGTCCTCTAATTATTTTCCTATTTCGGCGGGGGACATCAGCCTCACTGTTGGCTTGTTATTACTGTGATGAACTCAGATAATTGAAAATGATAGCATGAAATCAATACAATGGCGTTAAGAATATATTAGTTGTATGTTATCCCTGAATATATCTGATCGAGCTGATCGAGTCGTGTTTATTCCTGACAAACTACTATTATTATCAATGTTAAAAGGTTTATCACTCCAAAACTGGGGAGTCGCGGTGGCTAAGTGGGTAAGACGCTGGCTTGCTAGCCTGGAGGTCGCGTGTTCGATCCTGCATTGGCCGAGAAAGTTCACCGGGATCCCCCTTGTCAGTGATGCAGGATGGAGGGCCTGACAAGAACAGCTGTCTAGTCATTCGGATGAGACGGAAAACCGAGGTCACGTGTACACATTAGCGTGCACGTAAAAGATCCCTTGACAGTTGGAATTTGATATAGGCCCTAGTGCTGCTGCCCGGGCAAAATTTCCCTCATAGCACACTGTATGGTGTATGTCAGTCTTCATTAGCCCAGTTCGGAGTAAAACAGTAGGATGTTAAACCCCATTTCATTTCATTTCATTCCAAAACTGACTCAATTCCATCACCTGTAAACGTTGCTTAACGGTTTTAAACCCCACAAAAACTGGCAAATTCTTTTTGACCTGTTGGAAAACAACGAAAGTATGACTGGAATTTGTCACTGTGTTGGCGGTGTGTTTACAAGTCTACCAGACTGCATTGATAAATCGTGTACTGAAATAGATTTCATTGTTTTACGATTGCTTTTCAGATAAAAGATACGAAACAATTATTCTACCAGTTTTTGGGTTTGCATCACCATTTCATATAGCTACAATCAAGGTAACCTCTCTCTCTCTCTCTCTTTCTCTCTCTCTCTCTCTCTCTCTCTCTCTCCCTCTCATTAACATTAAAGATGCATTATGGGAGATTAGATAAAGAGCTGGAAGTTCTCACTATAATAGTTAAAACCTGGATACTGTAAAGGGAATTTGCTGAAAAATTCATTCAAATTGATCCACTATAAACCGAGATTTTAGCGATTTAATTTTCGGCCTAGCTTCGATCATCATTACTAAAGTCGGTAGGATAAAAAAAACAGTCTTGATTATCCATTTCATGATTTAATTATGAATGGAAGTCAAACAGCAAATCGGAACTTAATCTAATAAACATCACAGCCTAGCTATGCCATCAAGGGTTGATTATGGTCTGGATAAGTTAATGTCTAATTAATAATTTAGATAACATTTCAGGCCTAAAGAAAGACCTGGCAATAGCCAGATTTAGCTCTTGCTTAATGTATGTTTAAACATTAAAGTATTTTTTTATAGCAACACCAAATGAATGGTTCCAAAGGCACATGTTTGATTAAGATTAAGAGATCCACCAATTATTCAAAGTGTAATTGGAACAAATTTGTTTTGAATCTTTGTTTAAATATGTCAATTGATACAGTATATCTGTCTCTATTCTATTACAGAATATAAGCCAGTCGGTTGAAGGTGAATACACATATCTTCGTATTAATTTTTTCCATCCCGGAGCCACACTGGGTAGAAATGAAGGTAACGCCTATCCGAACTCGGACATGACCTTCCTAAAAGAAATGTAAGTAGACTCAATATTATTTTATAGGGAACAATCTACCATTTAGTTTAAGATGTTGTACATCTCTATATTCTTTTAAAAAACAACTTAAAACACATTTATTTAATCAGGCTTTTAACTGACTCTGTATACAATCGTTAACATGCCCATAATCTTGTTGTTTATGTGTGATTTACATTGTCACTTTGTAAAGTGCCCCTGAACATGTTATATGAAAGGGTGCACTATAAATATGTTGTAATAATAATAATAATAGTAATTTCATATAAGACAATTCATTAATTGTTTTAACCACTTTATTAGATTGATTAGAAATAAGTTTTAAGAAAAGGATTCTCATGTCGTAGAGCTGATATAATTTATTGTGTTGTGACAACAAGAGAATACTGTACAGATAATACCGAACTTGAATGGTGATCGAATTAAGTGGACGTTAACAGAACCAATCAGGTTGACTGTTTTATAGACTAAAGGTGTTGAACCAATCAGGTTGACTGTATTTTAGGACACATGTTCTATAACATAGACAACATGGTTGATTCCTCACCATAAACCGATTCCAAAGTCCTTTCAAAAACAGTTAAAATGTTGTGAAATATTTTGATTTTGTAATGGGATAAATTTAACTCAAGTTTTTTATTATTTTATTTTTTTTATTTAATAGCACATACAGAAGTTCAAACACAAAGGAGCCAGGGGAGTTATCTGCCCCTTCATCTAATTTAAATACAGCGTTCAGATTAATCAAAGAAGTGCAGAAAAAATTTAAAACTCGAGAAGCTGAAGAGAAAGAAAAGGAGGTGAGTTACTGATATATTGTCCAAGTCTTTTATTAACAAGTACGAGCATACTATGGACCAGGAAGTGACCATGATGTTTGAGAATACGATTGAGTTCCCCCTCATTCAGGTAGATATAGTTTTAACATACAGGTATTGTTCTCTGCATATATACCTATCACTTTATAAAGATGTTATAGCTTTGTTTTGAGGATAAAATTTAAAAGAAGAAGCATGCCAATTTTCATGTTGATCGGACTTGAATTGACGGAGCCTCAGGGTTTTTAGAAGACGAGCGTCACCCCAAGAACTAGATGGGTAGCGGTTAGCAACCAGTTCCTGGTCACCCCGAAAGATAAATATGGTTGACAGTAACTGTTCAAATTGGTTAAATGTTAAATCTCACTGACTGTTGAAGGAGTGTGAGTGGGTGACCATATGGTTAACACATGCGCATTGCAAACGAAGGTCTGTCATTGAGTCAACTGGCTTGGTTTAGATTTCCCGACTTGTACGTGATAAGGAGTAGGGTCGTCTGTCTAACCTTGTGGGTTTTCTCGGTGTCAAGTTTGTGTACTTGTATTTCTTTGTAAAGTTCCACAGAGCAGTGAACCCTCTAGAGAACTATTATTATTATTATTATGTAATATTTATGTTGGTAGTTCAATGGCTATGATATAATTATTATTATTTTGTAATATTTATGTTGGTAGTTCAATGGCTATGATATAATTATTATTATTATGTAATATTTATGTTGGTAGTTCAATGGCTATGATATTATTATTATGTAATATTTATGTTGATAATTCAATGGCCATGATATGATAATCTGTGTATAATATGTTTATATTGTTGTAATATTTTCAGGGTATTGTTAAACAAGACACACTGATAGTTAATCCGAATCGTGGTAATCCTAAACTTAAAGATTTATACATCCGACCTAACATCGTATCAAAACGTATCTCTGGAGTTCTTGAAGCTCATACTAACGGTATGTATTTATTTACACGTAATAATGCTATACATATTTATCGAGTTTATTAAGGTCATATATATATTTACCCTAGGCCACAAAAAAATATTCTGCTTCTCAGATACCGCTGCGTCACGTTTGTTATCAAGGGAAGTAACTCAAGCGTTTTCTTGAAAATAGGAACTGAACACTACACTCGGCTATCGAGTACATAACCATGGGAAACACTGTTGACAACAGCACTTGATAATCGATTGTTGATATGTAATTCCACAATGATGGCGACATTTTGCTGTCAATCTGTCATTTGTTACGATCATAATGCCTAAGTATATTTCCCGAGAACGATAACTGTGAGAGATATGACCAAAAGTATTCTCCCTGGGGAGATTGGGGGCGTAGACTTCGATATAAACCATCAGCAAAATCGATGCTTTAACAATGAGTACCAGGTAATGGTTGCCGGCGGATTTGAAAACACTTTCCCAGGAGTTAATCGAGGAGAAATCACGGAATTATTCAGCTGTTATTTCAAAATCTTTTTTATTTTTGGTTTTTCACATATTAAATTTGTAACATTATGGGTTTATCAAAATTGAAAAACCAGCCAGAATTTTGACAAAATAAAAACAAAAAACCCCACATTCCTGCATCGAGAAAGCGAATATTTTTTTTGTTATCTAATAATAGTCCCCGGTTGTACGTGACAAGGAGTAGGGTCGCCTGTCCAACCTCATGGGTTTTCTCTGGTTTCCTCCCACTGCTAAAGACCCCTACTCGCAACGAATTATTGAAATAAAAATTAAACCATATGTTAGTCCCGAAATGACCTAGTTTGTGTCGAGTGGACGTTAAACCCCATTTCTCTCTCTCTATCTAATAATATTTTCATTATACAGGACAAAAGTATTCCTTTAAAAATAACCCATAGATAATAATCTCCAACAGTAACATTTTACAATGGTAGAAGCTGTTGATATTCAGTCCCAGATCAAAATTTCCATCAAATTAGGATGTGGTTTCCGTCTTCATTAGCCCAGTAGGACGTTGACATTAATTTCATTCCTTTTTATATTTCTCATTTGAATTGCAGGTTTTCGTTTTACGTCTGTACGAGGTGATAAAGTTGATATTTTATATAATAATGTAAAACACGCCTTCTTTCAACCCTGTGATGGTGAAATGATTATACTTCTTCATTTTCATTTAAAGGTAATTTGCTGGTCGTTATTTCTATATTTCAGATAATATTTAAAGGTAATTTGCTGGTCGTTATTTCTATATTTCAGATAATATTTAAAGGTAATTGCTGGTCGTTATTTCGTTATTTCAGATAATATTTGATTTTTCATTGCTTAGTCCAGGATAAAGGGCCGGCCATTCTTACTATAATAGTTCAACAATAGATAATGCAGTTGAAATTTGATATAAGAGTAGGCCACTGCTCGGGCAAAATTTCCCTCATAGCACACTGTATGGCGTATGCCTGTCTTCATTAGCCCAGTTTAGGAGCAGAACAGTAGGACATTAAACCCCATTTCATTTCATTTCTTTATTCTGAGCCAAGTTATCACGGTTCGTAATTTTGACAAGATGTGTGCATTGATTGTTCATTATCGTAACCACGGTGTTGATTATTCCAGTCTTATCATCACTTCTCCATTTTTATATTAAATTGACTTCTGATGGTATCAGGAGTTGATTATGATCTTATGTTATTAAATGTTCAATTAACAGTTTATAAAACATTTAAGACCTAAACAAAGGCTTGCAAAAGAAAGATTTAGTCGTTACATAATGTATCTTGAGGAAACCAAATCTGAATGTGAACAGTTGATAAAGGATTTAAGGCTGGACACTACCTTATAAAACAGTCTGTATAGATTGATCTGTCAAATTTTGATATCAGCTAAAATTGCCCAAAATAGTTAAAATTTGTTGATTTTTCTGTACTCAAAGCATTCTCAGACTTAAGTTGAGAATGTACTCAAACTTGTCCACCTTATTTTAACTAAAATATAGCCCTTTATAATAATGTTGTTGTTTTAATCTATCAAATACATCAATAAGAAACTAGGTGCAAAGTTTTGTGTTTCTGGATGAAAGATATTTCTCATAAACAGTGATTGAAAGTTGAGCAAATTCTCACCTTAAGTCTGAGAATGATTTGTGAACTCGACGCCTGTTCTTAGAAAATCAAATTCTCAAAATCTATGAGAGATAATGGTCTCATCTTTGGAATACGATTAGTGCTATAGCTACTGTTTGCAATAAGGTGATTTTCAAAGTGTTTGTTATACATTTGGACATTTTATTGTACAAAATCCTTTTAGTGGTGTGTTCGGCCACACCCACTTGTTTTATGTGGGATGCATAATGTTCTTTATTAACATTCAAATAGTAAAATTTATGCCTTATTGCACTCTTTAATGCCTATATATGTTATTCCAAATCACAAATAGTTTGTTTCAATAAAATTGTTGAAGATTTTGATTTCCTAACATAGCCACCGTGAATATATAAAAAAAATCCAATATGGCCACCATTTCCATGACAACAAATAAACATTTTGCGCTCAAATTATCAAATCTGATTTTGGACATCATATACTAATATTACACTAAATGGCAAGTTTCTGTTATCAATGTAAAATTCTTAGGTAGTGTCCTGCCTTAATGAGATTTGAATCAAACTCCCCTCGTGGCGTGGTTGACTTGTTCTTGACAACATTCTATATATAATCTGTAGAACATGTTGAATGTTGACAGATGTTTAATTTATCTTTATAAATACTGACTGAAATTAAACCATTTTTGGATTGATATTTCTTTCACAACGATTCTTCAATCCTGAAAATAACAATCATAGACTTTTGATATACATGTGATAATTTTATGGAATACAATTACTGCTTATTACTGAGCAACGTTTCAACTAGGCTTCTCTATTAATCATTGCTTGATAATGACTAGAGAAGCCTAGTCAAAACTGTCACTTCGTAATAAGCAGTAATTGTTTTCCATAAAATTATCACCTGTATGTTTTAGTTCAGTTAATAAAGGCCATTGAAATAATTTAGACTTTTAAGGTTACTAATCAAATGTAAAAAAAAAAATACCTTACAGCTTGGTATACTAGAACACTGACCGTATTTTTCAGCATGCTATTCTGTTCGGTAAGAAGAAACATGTTGATGTTCAGTTTTATACGGAAGTTGGAGAAATAACAACAGATCTTGGTAAACATCAACATATGCACGATCGAGATGATTTACACGCTGAACAGGTAAATATATCGTCATAACAATCTGATTAAAACACAGGTAAACATATCGTCATCATAACAATCGGATTAAAACACAGATCCTATTTCGTTTCATTTTTATAGTTCAAAATTTTCGTTTTACTTGTCTTTACTACACTAGGATCTGCAAGAGTTGTTATCATTGACGTGTTCTGAATGATGTGAGCTATTAGCCAATGAAACGGTCTGTTACGGTGAGCTTAAGGCGTGTTTTGCACAGAACTGTGGGTAATCCAATAGTAACATCAATGCTTATTGGTTAATCAAATGTTTGATGTCAAAGGGTCAAAAGCCGCTCGTATGACCTCTGACGTGACCTATGGCTACAACCGGTCAGATCTTCATGTAGGCCATCGAAAGTATATAAAATGAAACGAAATATAGATCTGTATTTTAATCAGATAGAATTCATAACAGAGATTTACGCATCCAGCATACGCCTGTCAGTTTTCCGTGATCTGTTTGGATCATAAGGCAACACAAATAAAATAAGTTGTTTCTCGGGCACCGCCCGCACGCAAAATTGATGAAAAATAAAAAATATGTAACGCCCGCCCGAACATCGATATTCAAGTCATAAAAAAAATATGCCGCATGTATCTACATGCCCCATTTGTGAATATCCATTCAAATGTATTAAACTGATTCAGATGTAAACGCTCATTTATGGGTCTTTTTTATTGATATCGAAAGAACCTCCATTTTTGTATCACGTGATTTTTATTCCCCCCCCCTTGTGAACTAGAATTTGATTCGTGTTAAACACCGAAAGTCATTGACAACAATGCAATGTATTTCAATCATTCGATCTTAATCGGCTCATTATTGCCGGCTTCAGTCGGTCCATGTTTGAAAAATCCTACTTATAAAACAATGAATCGTAGAACAGGTTAATTATTATAACTTGTGGCTACGAATACGATACGATGATAGTCGTATACCTTAGTCAGAATCTGGGTAATTAGCACATTTAACGGTAGTTTTGATAATCCGGAAAATATTAATTGGATTACACATTTGATGGTTTTACTGACGAGTTGTTAGTTAAATTTAAATAGTCATTCGATATAAACCCCAGATAGAACACCGAATATCCTGAGAAACACACCAAATATCCTGAGAAACAGTCATTTCACGAATCCCGATGACACGTGACATGCATTGGTTGGAATTAGGTCAATCATAATAAACCAGCGATACTAGATTTAGATCGTAGTGTCGTTTACCGTGATGATTATTTTTGATACACATGCTGACAGAGGCTTACTCTTTAAAATATTGTCGTTATTATGGACGGCTATTAATAGTCGTACGGAATTTTATTTTAAATAAATTTCAATTATGGTTGTCACCATTACCATTAGTAAGCTACATTACGTGAATTAAATATGGAAAATTATTTTCCTTTCAGTCAGTGTTCAGTGTTTGAGTAGACTTGATTTTTGGATTTATGTTCTAAGTATGTATAATATATAACTGAAAGCAAAACCGTAGACAAGTAATGACTTTCTCATTAAAAATAAATAAAAATACAAGGCCGCCCTCCCGCCCCAACAATTTTCAACAATAGGCAAATTTTATTTTGCACCATCCTCTAGCCAGAAATGAGATAAAAAAAAAAATAAACCGCCCTCCCCCCCTACAGTTTCAGCTGTCAGTTGCCCGAGAAACAAGACATTTATTTTGTGTAGCCTAAGGTCATGTGGTGTAATTTCGACTCCCCTACTTGCTTGTGTAAGTGAGGAGGATTAAGGTCACCTGTCCATCATCATGGTTTTGTCTCGGTTATCGGGTTTCCTCCCACTGCTAAAGACCCCTACATGTAAGCAAGTTATTGAAATAAAATTGAACCATGTTAGTCTTAAAATGACGTAGTTTGTTTCAAGTGGATGTTAAACCCCATTTCTCTCTCCGTCCTCCAAGGGGAAATCTGGATGGAAAATCACTCCGAGGTGGTTCCTGGGTCAGCACAACACTCATTGTGGTTCCTTGACCAAATCATACCAGGCTATCAGTGTGAGCAAGGCGGAGGGATTTCGACGAGAATAGTTTTCTGATAATTATGTTTTGTTTATTTCAGGCTGAAAGAGAATTGCGACAGAGATTAAAATCGGCATTTAAAAGTTTCTGTGAGAAAGTAGAATCATTGACAAAACAAGAAATAGAATTTGACACACCGTTCCGAGAACTAGGTTTCCATGGTGCCCCTTTTAGAAGTACTGTATTATTACAGCCAACCAGTGGATGTATCGTGAACTTTACAGAATGGGTAAGAACTCAAAACTTTTTAATATTAAAACCCCAGAGTTGAATACATAATTAAAAATACTTTTAGTACAAATGGTTTGGTCCACAAATGTTAGCAAGTTTAAAAAATAAGGCAAATGTCATCGACATCGTCAGCCACAGATTGGGTACTAGTACATTTTATATGACTTTAAAACCCATTTCAGGTCATCTTCCAACCAAAATCTTCATTTCTGGGCCTGATTATTACAGCCATTTGAAATTTATTTTGGTTTTTATACGCCCACATTGAAATGGGGTCGTATATTGTCGTCGCCCACGTCCGTCCGGCGTCCACAATTGCTTGTGGACGCTCTAGAGGCTAAAGTTAATATCCGATTGACTTAAATTTATATACAGTGTTTAAGGCCATGAGACGAAGAAGCTGATTGATTTTCAGCGATTTCTGATAATTACTGCCAGAGTTATGGCCCTTGATCACTTCAAAAAATCTTGTGGACACTCTAGAGGCCAAAGTTAATATCCGATTGACTTTAAATTTAAACACAGCGTTTAAGGTCATGAGACGAAGAAGCCTATTGATTTTCAGCGATTTCCAATAATTCCTGCCAGAGTTATGGCCCTTGATCACTTCAAAAAATCTTGTGGACGCTCTAGAGGCCACAGTTTATATCCGATTGACTTTAAATTTATACACAGTATTTAAGGTCACGAGACAAAGAAGCCTATTGATTTTCAGCGATTTCCAATAATTACTGCCAGAGTTATGGCCCTTGATCACTTCAAAAAATCTTGTGGACGCTCTAGAGGCGAAAGTTAATATCCGATTGACTTCAAATTTATACACAGTGTTTAAGGACATGAGACGAAGAAACCTATTGATTTTCAGCGATTTTCGATAATTACTGCCAGAGTTATGGCCCTTGATCACTTCAAAAAATCTTGTGGACACTCTAGAGGCCAAAGTTAATATCCGATTGACTTTAAATTTAAACACAGCGTTTAAGGTCATGAGACGAAGAAGCCTATTGATTTTCAGCGATTTCCAATAATTCCTGCCAGAGTTATGGCCCTTGATCACTTCAAAAAATCTTGTGGACGCTCTAGAGGCCACAGTTTATATCCGATTGACTTTAAATTTATACACAGTATTTAAGGTCACGAGACGAAGAAGCCTATTGATTTTCAGCGATTTCCAATAATTACTGCCAGAGTTATGGCCCTTGATCACTTCAAAAAATCTTGTGGACGCTCTAGAGGCGAAAGTTAATATCCGATTGACTTCAAATTTATACACAGTGTTTAAGGACATGAGACGAAGAAACCTATTGATTTTCAGCGATTTTCGATAATTACTGCCAGAGTTATGGCCCCTTGATCACTTCAAAACATCTTTTGGACGCTCTAGAGGCCAAAGTTAATATCCGATTGACTTTAAATTTATACTCAGTGTTTAAGGTCATGAGACGAAGAAGCCTATAGATTTTCAGCGATTTCCAATAATTACTGCCAGAGTTATGGCCCTTGATCACTTCAAAAAATCTTGTGGACGCTCTAGAGGCGAAAGTTAATATCCGATTGACTTCAAATTTATACACAGTGTTTAAGGACATGAGACGAAGAAACCTGTTGATTTTCAGCGATTTTCGATAATTACTGCCAGAGTTATGGCCCCTTGATCACTTCAAAACATCTTTTGGACGCTCTAGAGGCCAAAGTTAATATCCGATTGACTTTAAATTTATACTCAGTGTTTAAGGTCATGAGACGAAGAAGCCTATTGATTTTCAGCGATTTCCGATAATTACTGCCAGAGTTATGGCCCTTGATCACTTCAAAAAATCTTGTGGACGCTCTAGAGGCGAAAGTTAATATCCGATTGACTTCAAATTTATACACAGTGTTTAAGGACATGAGACGAAGAAACCTATTGATTTTCAGCGATTTTCGATAATTACTGCCAGAGTTATGGCCCTTGATCACTTCAAAAAATCTTGTGGACACTCTAGAGGCCAAAGTTAATATCCGATTGACTTTAAATTTAAACACAGCGTTTAAGGTCATGAGACGAAGAAGCCTATTGATTTTCAGCGATTTCCAATAATTCCTGCCAGAGTTATGGCCCTTGATCACTTCAAAAAATCTTGTGGACGCTCTAGAGGCCACAGTTTATATCCGATTGACTTTAAATTTATACACAGTATTTAAGGTCACGAGACGAAGAAGCCTATTGATTTTCAGCGATTTCCAATAATTACTGCCAGAGTTATGGCCCTTGATCACTTCAAAAAATCTTGTGGACGCTCTAGAGGCGAAAGTTAATATCCGATTGACTTCAAATTTATACACAGTGTTTAAGGACATGAGACGAAGAAACCTATTGATTTTCAGCGATTTTCGATAATTACTGCCAGAGTTATGGCCCCTTGATCACTTCAAAACATCTTTTGGACGCTCTAGAGGCCAAAGTTAATATCCGATTGACTTTAAATTTATACTCAGTGTTTAAGGTCATGAGACGAAGAAGCCTATAGATTTTCAGCGATTTCCAATAATTACTGCCAGAGTTGTGGCCCTTGATCACTTCAAAAAATCTTGTGGACACTCTAGAGGCCAAAGTTAATATCCGATTGACTTTAAATTTAAACACAGCGTTTAAGGTCATGAGACGAAGAAGCCTATTGATTTTCAGCGATTTCCAATAATTCCTGCCAGAGTTATGGCCCTTGATCACTTCAAAAAATCTTGTGGACGCTCTAGAGGCCACAGTTTATATCCGATTGACTTTAAATTTATACACAGTATTTAAGGTCACGAGACGAAGAAGCCTATTGATTTTCAGCGATTTCCAATAATTACTGCCAGAGTTATGGCCCTTGATCACTTCAAAAAATCTTGTGGACGCTCTAGAGGCGAAAGTTAATATCCGATTGACTTCAAATTTATACACAGTGTTTAAGGACATGAGACGAAGAAACCTATTGATTTTCAGCGATTTTCGATAATTACTGCCAGAGTTATGGCCCCTTGATCACTTCAAAACATCTTTTGGACGCTCTAGAGGCCAAAGTTAATATCCGATTGACTTTAAATTTATACTCAGTGTTTAAGGTCATGAGACGAAGAAGCCTATAGATTTTCAGCGATTTCCAATAATTACTGCCAGAGTTGTGGCCCTTGATCACTTCAAAAAATCTTGTGGACGCTCTAGAGGCGAAAGTTAATATCCGATTGACTTCAAATTTATACACAGTGTTTAAGGACATGAGACGAAGAAACCTGTTGATTTTCAGCGATTTTCGATAATTACTGCCAGAGTTATGGCCCCTTGATCACTTCAAAACATCTTTTGGACGCTCTAGAGGCCAAAGTTAATATCCGATTGACTTTAAATTTATACTCAGTGTTTAAGGTCATGAGACGAAGAAGCCTATTGATTTTCAGCGATTTCCGATAATTACTGCCAGAGTTATGGCCCTTGATCACTTCAAAAAATCTTGTGGACGCTCTAGAGGCGAAAGTTAATATCCGATTGACTTCAAATTTATACACAGTGTTTAAGGACATGAGACGAAGAAACCTATTGATTTTCAGCGATTTTCGATAATTACTGCCAGAGTTATGGCCCTTGATCACTTCAAAAAATCTTGTGGACACTCTAGAGGCCAAAGTTAATATCCGATTGACTTTAAATTTAAACACAGCGTTTAAGGTCATGAGACGAAGAAGCCTATTGATTTTCAGCGATTTCCAATAATTCCTGCCAGAGTTATGGCCCTTGATCACTTCAAAAAATCTTGTGGACGCTCTAGAGGCCACAGTTTATATCCGATTGACTTTAAATTTATACACAGTATTTAAGGTCACGAGACGAAGAAGCCTATTGATTTTCAGCGATTTCCAATAATTACTGCCAGAGTTATGGCCCTTGATCACTTCAAAAAATCTTGTGGACGCTCTAGAGGCGAAAGTTAATATCCGATTGACTTCAAATTTATACACAGTGTTTAAGGACATGAGACGAAGAAACCTATTGATTTTCAGCGATTTTCGATAATTACTGCCAGAGTTATGGCCCCTTGATCACTTCAAAACATCTTTTGGACGCTCTAGAGGCCAAAGTTAATATCCGATTGACTTTAAATTTATACTCAGTGTTTAAGGTCATGAGACGAAGAAGCCTATAGATTTTCAGCGATTTCCAATAATTACTGCCAGAGTTGTGGCCCTTGATCACTTCAAAAAATCTTGTGGACGCTCTAGAGGCGAAAGTTAATATCCGATTGACTTCAAATTTATACACAGTGTTTAAGGACATGAGACGAAGAAACCTATTGATTTTCAGCGATTTTCGATAATTACTGCCAGAGTTATGGCCCCTTGATCACTTCAAAACATCTTTTGGACGCTCTAGAGGCCAAAGTTAATATCCGATTGACTTTAAATTTATACTCAGTGTTTAAGGTCATGAGACGAAGAAGCCTATTGATTTTCAGCGATTTCCGATAATTACTGCCAGAGTTATGGCCCTTGATCACTTCAAAAAATCTTGTGGACGCTCTAGAGGCGAAAGTTAATGTCCGATTGACTTCAGATTGATACACAGAGTTTAAGATCTTGAGACGAACAAGTATATTGATTTTCAATGAACTTTTATGACATGGAACAGCTAAATCCATGATGCAGTATTAAAAGTTTTGTATACAAAACGTTAGCCTGGGGCAGAACTTTATAAAAACCAAACAAATTCTAATGGTTTTCTGAGTTGTTGCTCTTAATCAGATTTCAGTGTATTATAAATGTTTCATTACCGAAAAAAGTAAAAATATGCGACAACTCTTGTTGACTGCCCGGACGATTTAGCTGCTGTTGGCGTATGTTTCGTTGCCTGGCAACCTATCTTTATTGATTTATTTGATTCCCTAGGTGTACTTGACAAGGAGTAGGGTTGCCTGTCCAACCGCGTGGGATTTCCCCTGGTCCTTCGGTTTCCTCCCACTGCTGAAGACCCCTACGTGCAAGCAAGTCACTGAAATAAAATTGAACCATATGTTAGTCCCGAAATGACCTGGTTTGCATCAGTGGACATTAAACCCCCTCTCTCTTGATTTAACATTGCCATCTCTCTTTGATAATTGCACTATCTTTTTCATACAGAGTCCATACAATATTTATAATGGTCAACCATTGTTCTGTGTATATTTATAAAGGTCAACCATTGTTCCGTGTGTATTTATAATGGTCAACCATTGTTCTGTGTATATTTACAATGGTCAACCATTGTTCTGTGTATATTTATAATGGTCAACCATTGTTCTGTGTATATTTATAAAGGTCAACCATTGTTCTGTGTATATTTATAAAGGTCAACCATTGTTCTGTGTGTATTTATAAAGGTCAACCATTGTTCTGTGTATATATTTATAATGGTCAACCATTGTTCCGTCTATATTTATAATGGTCAACAATTGTTCCGTGTATATTTACAAAATGCATCCATTTATATTTCAGCCTCCGTTTGTAGTGAGCCTTGATTCTGTTGAGCTCGTTCATTTTGAGAGAGTATCGTTCCAGTTGAAGAATTTTGACATGGTTTTTGTGTTTAAAGATTATTCACGGAAGATTGCGATGATTAATTCGATACCCATGCAGGTTCTAGATCACGTCAAGGAATGGTTGAAGTAAGAAATATTTTTTTATCATGACCATATTTGGTCGTTTGTCTTAAACCCACGATGACTCAGTGAGTAAGACGTGGGTCTGCTAACTCGAATGTCCTGTGTTTGATACCTGTATTGACTGAAGGTTAATCGGTATTTTCTCGCATGGTTCCCTTGTCATTGGAATGTACGTAATGGAACCCTTGAATTTTATACAGATTGGTTAGGGTTAGGCTGCTGTCCGAGCAAAGTTTCCCTCATAGTACACTGTAGGCGTATGCCCTTCTTCATTAGCCGGGGGGTTGGATGACCGAATGGTTAGTGCTTGTGCGCTGTATCATAAGGCCTGTCATTGGGTTAACTGGCGTGGTTTCGAATCCCTGGTTGTCCGTAACAAGGAGTAGGGTCATCGTCCAACCTCGTGGGTGTTTTCTCCGGGTCCTCTGGTTTCCTCCCACTGCTAAAGACCCCTACGCGCAAGCGAATTATTGAAATAAAATTAAACCATATGTTAGTCCCGAAATGACCTAGTTTGTGACTAGAGGAGTTAAACCCTCCCTCTCTCTCTCTCTCTCTCTCTGTCTCTCTTCATTAGCCCAGTTGGAATAAAAAAGTAGGACTTTAAACTCTATTTTATTACATCTACCCGTCTGTTCATCTGTCTGCCAATTCTTTATTCATTAGTTACCGATGTCGATCCTGGTGATGGCTAATTTTACTGCATGGTATGGTATTCCCTTGTCAGTTACGCAGGACGAACAACTATCGTTGAACGTTGAAATAAACGGCCACAAATGTATAAATTAACTACATTACATATTATACTTACGTCTCTTCTTCAGTTCCTGTGATATCAGATATACAGAGGGCGTTCAGAGTTTAAACTGGACCAAAATTATGAAAACCATCATCGATGACCCAGAAGGGTTTTTTGATAATGGAGGTTGGACATTCTTGGATCCAGAGAGTGACGTGAGTAGAATTAATTTCAAATTTAAATCTTGTTTGGTTTTTTTTTTGAATAATCATATGGTAAAAATGAAAAACAGCCAGTCAATAAAATATAAAAACATAATTTGCAATTATCTAAATGTGTGTTTGCTACATTTAATAATATTGTTAAACGGATTGTTGCTAAGAGAGATGTATTTAGTAGTGTAATGGTTTCTAGGGAAAGTAGGTGCCCCTATCTTCAGACCACAAACGCTTACACCAGGGATCTAAACCACAACCACGGGTCATTGGTGACCAGCAAGCTAGATCTCTAGCCCATTTCAACCCACTAGTAATAATAACCATGTTTCTTTGTTTAATATTCAGGCTGAAAATCATGAATCTGATTCTGATGAAGAGGACGAGGCATTCCAGCCGTCTGATATAAATTCAGAAGAAGAGAGTTCCGAGGACAGCGAAGAAGAGGAGAGTGATTGGGATGAAGAGGAGGATTCAGGTTTGTCAGCCATCTTGTATCTTCACCCCGGAAGTAATCGGGCAGGGATTGAATTAACGGACCCAAATAATTAACACAAAAAAATTGACCCAAATAAGTATTTTCATTATATTGTTACTGAAAAGTAAAGTTTCCCGGTATTATAAAAAACAGTGTTTTGTGTCAATGATTCCGAAACCTTTAAGATATAAACTAAATGTCATCTAAATCCTGTTTTTACAGTAAGTATTTGTATATACATATACACACTTGTTTTAGAAAGATCAATAATTGTATATATTTATTGTAGAAGGATCAGAAGAAATGGGATCAAGTGAAGAAAGTGGTAAAGATTGGGATGAACTTGAAGAAGAAGCCAGAAAAGGTCTGTAAAACTTGGGTTACATTTATCAACGAAGATGTTCAGGAGTCTTTATGGCTCTCATAATCTCGAAATAATACATAAACTTCAGTAAAATATACCATTTAATTTGACATGTTACAAGCCTGTTCATTTCTTAGGGACTGATTAAGGGGGGTTGGATGGCCGAATGGTTGGCACACGCCTACTGGCGAGTTTTCAATTCCCCGGTTGTATGTGACAAAGAGTAAGGTTGCCTGTCCAACTTCGTGGGTTTTCTCCGAGTCCTCCGGTTTCCTCCCACTGCTAAAGAGCCCTACGCGCAATCGAATTATTGAAATAAAATTGAATCACATGTTAGTCCCGAAATGACCTAGCTTGTGTCGAGTGGACGTTAAATCCCCTCTCTCTCTCTCTCTCTCTCTCTCTCTCTCTCAGGACTGATTAATGTCAGTAGACATAGCTGGAGATATAGTTAAACTTGTTATATTAAATGTACTGTTTATTTTTGTTTACAGCTGATATGGAACGTGATAACGATCCACCCGTGCAAGAAACCAGATTTAAACCATCAGACAAAAAACGTAAACGTAGTGACCATTCTGATCGTGGTTCGAAAGACAAGAAGAAGAAACGACGTTAGAATTTCTGCTTGAATTATGTTGTATCATTGTATATTGTGATGTCATTCATTGACTTGCTAACATCTTGCTTCACTCGGAACATTTTTAATTGTCTGTAGTGTCCTGTCATCTTGTTGGTCTGCACAATCATTATTCAAGTTGTAATATTAAAATATTAAAACCATGATTTGAACAGGAGTGAGGTTATAGGTAACAAAATGTAATTATTACTGATTTTGAATTAATGGTCATCTACTAGAAGGTTCCAATTACATTTTATTGTGAATATCAATATTGCTATAAATTAATGGCTAATGGTGATTAATTACATTGTTAAAAATAAAAACAGTAATTATAATGGCCCCAGTCCTGGAAGAGTATGTAAATAATAATAATGCAAATTACTGTTTACAGTATGTGATAGTAGGACGTCCTACGTCCTGTTCGTGTTTTAGGACGTCCTGTTAGGGTTCAATATTGATCTACAACAGTAAGTTGTGGAGATGACTTCCGAGTTAGGGCACAAAATCGTGTCTAAACACATAGCTTAGACAATCTTGAAATTATTGCTCCTGAGAAATTTATTATATACACTACCTGTTTACGGAGATAGTTCATGATTGATATAAAATTGTATATTGTGATAATAGTGCTAAGTTTATGTCACATCAACTGGTTTGTTTCTTTGTCGTAAAATTTGAAATTGGGCACAAAACAATCTGATTAAAGTCGGATTCATTTCAAATCTGTCTTCATCTGTATTTTATACTTTATTAACATCTAAACCTATTCTTTAAGTGGCATTTAGCGATCAGGGAACAAATTAACAGAACACAGTTTTTATGGGATACAATCACTAGTTTATTCTAAAAGCACGACGTTTCGACAAGTATCCTCTTATCGTTATCAAGCATAAATGATGCTTGATAACGATAAGAGGATACTTGTCGAAACGTCGTGCTTTTAGAATAAACTATATGCTTGATAACGATAAGAGGATACTTGTAGCTGTTCCCATCACATGGTCCAATGATTTACATGTATATATAAACTCATCAAGTCATATGCATAATTATAGCCAATGTCAGTCGCCCAAACAGCAAGCCACATGGAAACAAATTTTAAAAAATTCCCAGTGAAATCTGGATTTGGAGTATGTCCTATATCAGGAACACGGAAATAACAGTAATATTAGGGTCTTATCATAAACCAGAAAGGTGCAAATTGGCTGTTGGGACTTAAAAAAATAGATACTTGAGTTGGTCGGCTACTTAGAAGGAAAGGACAGGTACCAGTTCCAACTTAAACATGTATTTATCATTTAAATAAATAATTCTCACTGAAACTACCATAAAAAGGTTGGTGTCATTTCCATTCCAAACTACTAATATGGCATTTTCCTGAACAAATCAAATTAGGTAGAATTAATATAGCCACAGTTTAATACAGTCCTATTATTGTTCGATTTGTATAGTACTTCATTACACATACAATACACAGGTTTAATACAGTCCTATTATTGTTTGATTTGTATAGTGCTTCATTAAATATGAAATACACAGAAAAGATAAAAATCTGTAGAACATGGTTACACACACCTGGGTGTGAGGTGCTATAATTATAATGTTGAAAGATGGATGATAGGTTGTGTGTGAGTTATTATTGGTTTATTCATGATTCATTTCATCTCATCATTAAATATATTAAACAGTTTTATCTTATTGTCTTTTTTACCACAGGTAGTTGCTAGCTTGCTGACCAGGTGTAAGGTCTGCCATTGAGTCAACTGGCGTGGTTTCAAATTCCGGGTTGTATGTGACAAGGAGTAGGGTCGCCTGTCCAACCTCGTGTTTTTCTGGGTCTTCCGGTTTCCTCCCACTGCTAAAGACCCATACACGCAAGCGAATTATAGAAATAAAATTAAAACCATGTTAGTCCCGAAATGACCTAGTTTGTGTCCAGTAGACTTTAAACCCCATTTCTCCTAGCTAACCAGGTGCTGACTTCCTAACAAGGTGCTGGGTTGGATCCTGGTTTTTTCTGATTTATTTTTTTCCCTTGTCAGTAACATGGAACAGTGTCTAGTTATTATGGGTCTACAGGCAGTGGCGGCGCCAAGGGTGGGAATGCCCCCCCCCCCATAAATCTGGTCTGCCCTCTGTTTGCCCCCCCCCCCCAATAATTTTTTTTGATACGTTTCGATAATCAATATCCCACATCCCCACTCAGTCATAAACTTGCATGTTGTAGAGTATTTCCGGCAGTCTATTCACAAGGGAAATTCGTTGAGGTTCTCAAGTCCGTTCGTTTGACACTTTACCTCAACGATTAGTGCCTAAAATACTGCCAGGCTGCATTTCCGGCAACCTGTTTTTCAACCATAACCCTAAACTAACCCCTAATTGAAGCTCGTGCCTTTGCCCCCTTAACCTTGGACTTTGCCCCTCCAATCACCGACGGCTGGCGCCGCCACTGTCTACAGGTAAAAGAAACCTTGACAGTTGGAATTTGAAATAAGGGTAGGCAAAAATATCTCTCAGGCATGCCAAATGTGCTTTTTGTTGGACCCTATTTCATTTACTTACCACAAGGTATTGAAGAAGGGACTGAAAAGGAAATGGAACAAAATCCTGTGTTCCTATATATACCGACTTCTCTGTCTACAATTAGCTCGGCTTGAAAACAAACACTAAGCTGGTTGACTAACATTTTAAATACGTAACACTTAAGTACATGTATATTCCCAGAACGGGATATGAGCTACAGCTATAAATATTTATTTCAAATCTGGCTTGTAGCATCGTGGTCATGATTTGACGAATTTTTTCAGTATTCAGTGATCCCATTCTGAACATCTGAGACACGCTACCTGCGGAGAAGTATAGCTAGCCACCAATTAATTTTCGTACGTTAGTTACGTACGTAGTGATCCATGACATACCGTTCCGAAGTTGCCACCCTTTTTCAAACACCTTGTGAACGGGATAGAGGCTACAGTTTTTATACGCCCACATTGAAATGTGGTCGTATATTGTCGTCGCCCCCGTCCGTCCGTCCGTCCGGCGTCCACAATTGCTTGTGGACGCTCTAGAGGTTAAAGTTAATATCCGATTGACTTTAAATTTATATACAGTGTTTAAGGCCATGAGACGAAGAAGCCTATTCATTTTCAGCGATTTCCGATAATTACTGCCAGAGTTATGGCCCTTGATCACTTCAAAAAATCTTGTGGACGCTCTAGAGGCCAAAGTTAATATCCGATTGACTTTAAATTTATACACAGTGTTTAAGGTCATGAGACGAAGAAGCATATTCATTTTCAGCGATTTCCGATAATTACTGCCAGAGAAATGGCCCTTGATAACTTCTAAAAATCTTGTGGAGGCTCTAGAGGCCAAAGTTAATAGCGATTGACTTTAAATTTATACACAGTGATTAAGGTCATGAGACGAAGAAGCCTATTGATTTTCAGCGACTTCCGATAATTACTGCCAGAGTTATGGCCCTTGATCACTTCAAAAAATCTTTTGGACGCTCTAGAGGCCAAAGTTAATATTCGATTGACTTTAAATTTATACACAGTGTTTAGGTTCATGAGACGAAGAAGCCTATTGATTTTCAGCGATTTCCGATAATTACTGCCAGAGTAATGGACCTTGATCACTTCTAAAAATCGTGTGGAGGCTCTAGAGGCCAAAGTTAATAGCGATTGACTTTAAATTTATACACAGTGATTAAGGTCATGAGACGAAGAAGCCTATTACTGCCAAAGTTATGGCCCTTGATCACTTAAAAAAAAACTTGTGGATGCTCTAAAGGCTAAAGTTAATATCTGATTGACTTTAAATTTATAAACAGTGTTTGAGGTCACGAGGCGAAGAATCCTATTGATTTTCAAAGATTTCTGATAATTACTGCCAAAGTTATGGCCCTTGATCACTTTGAAAAATCTTGTGGACGCTCTAGAGGCCAAAGTTAATATCCGATTGACTTCAGATTGATACACAGTGTTTATGATCTTGAGACGAACAAGTATATTGATTTTCAATGAATTTGGAACAGCTAAATCCATGATACAGTATTAAAAGTTTTGTATACAAAACGTTAGCATGGGGCAGAACTTTATAAAAACCAAACAAAATCTAATGGTTTTCTGAGTTGTTGCTCTTAATCAGATTTTAGTGTATTATAAATGTTTCATTACCGAAAAAAGTAAAAATATGCGACAACTCTTGTTGACTGCCCAGACGATTTAGCTGCTGTGGGCGTATGTTTCGTTGCCTGGCAACCTATCTTTAACAGATTTATTTGTAATTTGATGTGAAGCATTTGACCAATGAAAGAGTGAGTCCTGTTTACCAGTTCTCCGTCCATCAATTTCAACATGTGGGCGTATCTTGCATGGCAACCGCTTGTTCTAGTTAGATTGTGTGTCTCAACTTTACATATACCAGCAATTCCATATGTAAAATTAACGGACAATGTATATCTATTGTTTTTATGATCGATAATATTTTCACAGGGGGGGGGGGGGGGCGAAACGTTTTGCAAAGCCCTGCCCCCCCCCCCTATTCTTGTTCGACTGCTGTTATTCCAGTCACTGTCTACTGAGAGCAATAGTCACTCCTATAACATGAAGATATGATTCATTGTGACATGAAGATCACCCAACGATTTGCTGTATTTTTCTACTGCACATTAATGAGATACCGCCATTCTTTATGGAAGACCAAACAGCTCTTTATTCGTTGTTCTTTATTCTTAGTTCTTTATTCTTATTTATTCATTTGTTGTATTTCGACATTTGTAGGCTAAAATTAATATTTGTCCGGGCAAAATGTAAAGTACATGTCCGTCTTCATTTCTTTCCTTGTTGGGTCTTCTGGGAGCCGCGGTGGCTCAGTGAGTAGCACATGGATTGCTAACCTGGAGGTCTCGCCTTTGATCCCTGCGTTGACCGAGAAAGTTAATCGGGATTTTGCGACGTGGTTCCCCCATGGCAGTAGCCTAGGACGGTGGGTCTGATATGGCACGACATATAGTCGTTCGGATGGGACGAAAAAACGAGGTGTCGAGTTGACAGGGAATATGAAATAAGAGTAGCCAATAGCGCCGCTGGCCGGGCAAAATTCCCCTCATAGCACACTGTACGGCGTACACGGGTCTTCATTAGCCCCGTAGGAGCAGAACAGTCGGACGTTAAACCCCTTTCATATCATATTTTATAGGGTCTTATAATATAAAAGAACTAAAGGATATTTCTAAGAGACACATTTTATTATCTACAATCAATCAATCACAGCCAATTTAAAACAGGAGAATAAATAAAGAACCATAGAATATAGTATTTACATTTTACAGTAATCTGGACGAATGGCTGATTACACAAAAAACAATACACGAAACACAGTCATAGCAATTATATCTTATTACTAGAGTTATTTCCCCTTATTGTCAGACCTCCACAAACAGTATTCCCTTTCGCATAATAAGATCAACTGTTGGGTCCTCGATTTCCATTCTACAGTATATCTCAAATTGTTGACTCTATTACAGTAGTTGATATCTTAGCTTATCCATTGGACACGCGTTGCCCGGTAACGCGGATGTCCCCTTCCGTTCATCGCCTTAATGGCGACCAGGCTCCAGGAAGTATCCTAAAAAAATATATTCTTGACAACATTGGATATTGTTTTCTACAGATGGTGTCATGGAAACATAAATTTGAGGAACCAACTATCAATGCCCCCTCTGACAGAATCTTTAATACGCTAGGCTTGAAGTTCAATTATATATTATATAAAGGGAAATAACTCCGTGATGCGATAAGATAATAAGCCTTATTCGAATACATGTATTTACAAACAGGTTCAATCTAGTTAAAATGAGAGGTCAATCACATTTCGTTTTAATATTCCTACAATATTTGAACATTAAACACGTCGGACCTTACCGAACATTGCCGGACATTACCGAACATTACCGGAATTCAATGTCAACATCACGGGGGAGAAAAAGTAATTTTAAATAGGTTGAACGAGAGAAGTATTGTCATTGAGCACTATTTATCTTTATACGCCACTGTACATTCATATATTTATTATTAACAAGGTCTAGTTACTCTTCTACAACATCTATAGGGCGAGATCTATTTATTAAGGTCATCTGCAGATTACGTCAAGGTCGCTGAGATGTAAATAAGGTTAGGGCACGTGATTGTTGACTAGATAGTGGGGTAAGGTTAGGGCTAGGTCCAGGGTTCGGGTTAGCGCTACATCTCATGACCTTTGACTACATCTGGAGCTGGCGTTATGAAATAGATTCCTATAAAATAGTTTAATCCCAGGGGCCGGTTGCTCAAAACTCAGTTATTTTAACGATCCGTTAAACTCTAACGGATCGCTATCTTGCTAACGTGTTAACGGTCCGTTTATTTCATTATCCGTTAGCTAACGGACTGATTAAAGTTAATCCAAGTGAATTTTAAATTTATAAATTCAATGTATATGTATAATAACTTCATAGAAGTTAGTATTAACAAGAACGGAATAAAGAGGACAACTGTGTCGTCTGTACTCAAAACTTGAAAACACTAGAAAAAATCTACAGAATACTATATATATAGAAATTTTAGCATAAATCTGTAGAAACAGTTATAGGGTTTGCACTACAGAATCTGTAGGAACAGTTATAGGGTTTGCACTACAGAATCTGTAGGAACAGTTATAGGGTTTGCACTACAGAATCTGTAGGAACAGTTATAGGGTTTGCACTACAGAATCTGTAGGAACAGTTATAGGGTTTGCACTACAGAATCTGTAGGAACAGTTATAGGGTTTGCACTACAGAATCTGTAGGAACAGTTATAGGGTTTGCACTACAGAATCTGTAGGAACAGTTATAGGGTTTGCACTACAGAATCTGTAGGAACAGTTATAGGGTTTGCACTACAGAATCTGTAGGAACAGTTATAGGGTTTGCACTACAGAATCTGTAGAATATTTAGGGCTCTTATTTCCTACAGCCCCCCCCCCCGAATTATGTTGAATACTATAGAATTTAATTCTATAGAAAATGGGATCTCCCCCAACCCCCTAGAATGTTCTATAGAATTCTATAGAAAACTACACTGGTAATCTATAGGATGGTTTTGCTAAGGGTATACTTTGACTGGCAGTCGACTCATGCCATCGTTAAACAGATAACGACATGTTAAAGTTAACGGGGTCACCAGCAACAGATGTTCTCTCTTTTAAAGATAACGATCCTTTAACGCCATGTTAACGAGTCGTTATAAGTTATCAAAGCTTTGAGCAACCGGCCCCAGGTCGTGAAATATTGACCAACAGCATCAATATTTACATTGAATCTAGGAGCATGTAGTTTGTACTAAAGTTTTACTAATTGTTAACAAGTAAATGATTACATTAGTTTGTACTAAAGTTTTACTAATTGTTAACAAGTAAATGATTACATTAGTTTGTACTAAAGTTTTACTAATTGTTAACAAGTAAATGATTACATTAGTTTGTACTAAAGTTTTACTAATTGTCAGCAAGTAAATGATTACATTAGTTTGTACTAAAAATTTTACTAATTGTCAACAAGTAAATTATTACATTAGTTTGTACTAAAAGTTTTACTAATTGTTAACAAGTAAATTATTACTAACATTTTTACTTATCTAACCATCTATATCTCTCAAACATCATCAAACACATTAATTTCTTTTAAATCTGAATTTGATTTTAAACCAAGATTTTTATGCTATTATACTCTAATACCAAGATGGTTCTCAAAGCGGAGCTCATTGTAGAAAGAGAGCGGAAGTTGCGTTTGTCAAGAAGTTGGTGATAACGTCCAGAAATGAAATGAAATGAAATGGGGTTTAACGTCCTACTGTTCTGCTCCTAAACTGGGCTAATGGAGACAGGCATACGTCATACAATGTGCTATGAGGGAAATTTTGCCCGAGCAGCGGCGCTACGGCCTACTCTTATATCGAATTCCAAATGCCAAGGGATCTTTTTCTTGCACGCCAATGTGTTCACGATAACGTCTGGTCCAAAAAACCGAATGCAAACATGGCCTATGAGAGTATAATAGTCAGACATCTTGGTTTTAATCTTTCCTGCCTATTTGTCGTATTTGACAATATTCCCATTGACAACTGACGACCATACTAACTAACGTCCATGCGATGAATCTTAACTACCTTTGCCCTTACCGGACATAGACCTATCTTCTCGGTTGAATGCTTTGCCCTTACCGGACATAGACCTATCTTCTCGGTTGAATATCCGCGTTCATCATGATAATCAGTTCATTATTCCACGGAAATACACAGAAAGATTGCTTTAAATGACAAGATCGCCAGGACGTGGACAGAAATATACACTGACGTCATAAATAGATGACGTCAATGGAAATATATTTTATACCATCCGATGTTTACATGAATAATTCCTCATCACGTGCGGAAATTCGATATATGTCAAGTTTGAAAGAATCCATGGTATAAGACCGATAGATAATATAATTACCTAAAACTTATTTTACATATTTACATCTACACGACATTTAATTAATATTTCACAACACTGAAATGATCGGCAGAAGGCAACGATTCAGCCGTCACAGTTTTTGGTTTACGACTTCGTCTCCAATGATCTGTACCAAAGCATATTTGTAATGACCCTGTAAAGAGTTATTTTCTCCTGTCGAATCTTAATTAGCATTGGAGAATAGTGGTAGTGGTGGGTGGGTGGGAAGGCGGGGGTGGGGGGGGGGGCAATATACAAGTTAACTCAATAAATGAACTTCTAGTTCTGTTCACCATAAATAATCCTATGCGCTATTTTAATATTTGCACTTCAGAAGACGTGGTCATATTTTACAATACTTAAATTAAAGAGTTTAATAATAATTCTCCAGACTAGAAGAAACCCATCCGAGGACAGTCTAATACGGTCGTCAGTTGACTTTAACAACTTTCAAATAAAAGTTTCTAGTTTACAGCAAAAATTCCATTTTCAAACAAAGTTTTACTGGTACATGTGTAGCCAGCCTTTCCTACTACACCGTCATTTCTAGTTAACTAGTTACGTCATATTTTCTAGAATACCGTCACCCTAGAGTAATTGTGACGTCACATTATCTAGAATACCGTCATCTGAGAGTAGTTGTGACGTCACATTTCCTAGAATACAACCATTCATAGAGTGCCTGTGACGTCACGTTTCTTTTACATCGTCATTTTTAGATTACTTGTGACATCACATGTCCGAATATACTATAACTCCTAGATTACTTGTGACGTCACGTTTCCTAGACTAATATTGACGTCACGTTAATGATGATCTATTTCATATTTCAATATACAAATTATATGCATTATAATATTTCACTTGGTGAAACTGTTTTTTGTATATTTAAATATCAATGAATGCACGTTTACCTGGATCAATCATTAAATATGATTATTATTATTATTATTATTATTCTAGAAAGGGGACACGAGTATACACGAGCAAAACTTCTTAAATTTTACACATTATTCAAATCCACCCTTCAAAACAAGCCTCGCTATTATACCCCGCTCCGCTACGCTACGTCATATTATTACTATTTATTCTAGGTAATCAGCTTCTTCATCAGAGTTGAGAATACCTTGTTTCGTCTGGTTATACGTCACATATTGTACTGGACACTTCTCATTCATGATCAACGACTGAAAATAAATAATAGAATATAAGAATAAAATAGAATAGAATATGAATAGAATATAGAATAGAATAGAATAGAGGATAGGATAGGATAGGATAGGATGGGATAGGATAGGGTAGGATAGGGTAGGATAGGATAGAATAGATGGAAGAATAGAATAGAATAATGGACCATTTCAAAAAACGTTTTGGGTTGGGTGGTGTATCGGATTTGTTAATGAAGGACAAGTTTTCATTTGTAGAGAGTAAGCGGAAGTTGGTATATTTACTATACATTTTAGTTTGAATTTTAGCTGCGTACATGGTGGGTCAGCCCTAATCCAAACTTTAATATTCGAGTCATTCTCAAACTCGTCATTGTAGACATGAAATGGGGTTTAATGGCCTACTTTTCTGTTGCGACTGGGTTAATGAAGATGGGCGATCACTATGCAGTGTGTTATGAGGGAAATTTTGCCCGGACAGTTGCGTTACTGTTATTCTTATATCGAATTCCAACTGCCAATGTGTAAACCGGACCCTGGTTATTCGTCCCATTCGAACGATTAAACAGCTGCCCTTGCCAGGCATCCGTCCTGCACCACGACAAGGGGGAACCCACGCCGGAATTGGGGTTCAACGTCCCACTTTGCTACACCACCCGGGCTAATCAAAAGGTACATACGTCATGCAGTCTGCGATGAGGGTAATTTAGCCCGGGCAGCGGCGTGTCAACATACTCTTTATTTGTAAACCATCATTGTTACTTTAAGGTGCAAGCCAACCCCTACACGAGAGAACCTGAGCATCTCGGTTTCTGATTCCATCCAAACTACTGGGCGTTTTTCTTTTCCTAGTCCCCGTTCTGCACACCTGCCCAGGGGGAACACGCTAGAAAAGCTTTCCGGAAAATGGCGTCCAAAATCATTACAACTTATAGAAATTTCTACCCCCCCCCCCCCCCGAGACAGGGAAACAAGTAGTGGGTTACCCCGCCCCCCTACTCCCTGAGACAGGGAAACAAGTCGTGTGTTACCCCCGCCCCCCTACTCCCTGAGACAGGGACACAAGTCGTGTGTTAACCCCGCCCCCCCTACTCCCTGAGACAGGGACGCAAGTCGTGTGTTAACCCCGCCCCCTACTCCCTGAGACAGGGAAACAAGTAGGCCCAGCAGGTTACTTACGAGATTCTCCTCTTTTGCCGGTGGATTTCTTAGAAAATAGAGTAAAGGCGCATAAAGTAGATTCACTATAGCTATCAACCATAACATCCTGAAATATTATACAATATATTATACTATAAAATATATTATAGCTATCAACCAACATCCTGAAATATTATACAATATATTATACTATAAAATATATTATAGCTATCACTCATAACATCCTGAAATATTATACAATATATTATACTATAAAATATATTATAGCTATCAACCAACATCCTGAAATATTATACAATATATTATACTATAAAATATATTATAGCTATCAACCAACATCCTGAAATATTATACAATATATTATACTATAAAATATATTATAGCTATCAATCATAACTTCCTGAAATATTATACAATATATTATACTATAAAATATATTATAGCTATCAATCATAACTTCCTGAAATATTATACAATAATGAACAATGTACGCAATATTTTAATCCAACATTTGTTGGCAGAAAGAGAAACATCACAATAATATTATTGCAACAGATATACAGGATAATACCATGCTATTAATAATATTATTGCAACAGATATACAGGATAATACCATGCTATTAATAATATTATTGCAACAGATATACAGCATAATATCATGCTATTAATAATTATATTTAAATAAATAATACACACGGCTCCCAACACACCGAGTCATAATTTTGAAAGTCTACTTGTTGTAGATTTTACATTTCGTTTTATTGATTTTTGGCTTTGACAAAGTTTGGAATTTTGCTCATCGTGTGATTTTGTATTGAATGGAGGATGCTTCTCGCTTGCCGGGGTTAAAATGTTCATTCTCCCCTATTTTATTCCAAATTTCTATCTAATCGAAGTTTAAATATATACGGGAAACTTACCATTGGAATCCAGCTTCTCGTACTATTGTCCCACTAATGGCCGGACCTAAAATAAAACAATATTAGATAAAACTAATACCAAGGTGAATATAACATGAACTAGTATTTTATACAGAAGATGTGGTTCCCCCTTGTCAGTGATGCAGGACGGAGGGCCTGGCTCGCTAGCCTGGAGGTCGGGTGTTCGATCCCTGCATTGGCCGAGAAAGTTCATCTAGATTTTCCAGTGTGGTTTCCCCTTGTCAGTGATGCAGGACAGAGGGCCTGACAAGGACAGCTGTCTAGTCCTTTGGATGATACGAAAAACCAAGGTCCCGTGTATACATTGTAATGCACGTAAAAGGTCCCCTGGCAGTTGGAATTCGATTAAAGAGTAGGGGATAGCTAGTGACGCTGCCCGGGCAAAATTTCCCTCATAGCACACTGTATGGCGTATGCCCGTCTTCATTAACTAAATACGTTGCCTCATTAAATAAAGTTTTTATTATTATTATTATTATTAGCCCAGTAGAGGAGCAGAACAGTAGGACGTCAAACCCCATTTCATTTCATTTTATTTTATACAGAAGATATAAACATTTATGTTGACTCACCTACAGCGAATCCGAGACAGAAAGCTACATCAGCTATAGCATACACGCTACCATATACAGACACGTGACGTAGATCAACCAAATATCCCATATGTGGCAACATGGCGGAATCCACCATACCTATAAAAACAAACACTGATGATGAACTCAAATCTCATAAAGTATGGACGCTGAATGACCGCAGTTGGTGACCAAAACCACCATTTTAAACCAGCGAGTTACACACCACCCCAGCCACGTTGATGATGAAATCAAAACAAGTGAATTATGTTGTCGTTATTTATGGGCGCTAGATGACCGCAGTTGGTGACCATTTTAAACCAGTGAGTTACATCCCACCTCAACCATATTGATGGTGATATGAAAACAAGTGAATTATGTCGATGTTATGTATTGACGCTGGGTGACCGTGGAAGGTGATCAGAACCAAGAGACAGATCTATTATAAAACTATTGAAACTTAAGCTCCAGGGCTGCTAATGCTGCTTTCGACCACATTGCTTAAATATTTGTAGATCTGCTGCAGTGATAGGACGGTTACTACCCATAACAGTTAGATAGGTGTGATTAGCTACTGTACTGTAGATAGATGTGATTAGCTACTGTACTGTAGTTGGGTGTGATTAGTTACTGTACTGTAGATAGGTGTGATTAGCTACTGTACTGTAGATAGGTGTGATTAGCTACTGTACTGTAGATAGATGTGATTAGCTAATGTACTGTAGATAGATGTGATTAGCTACTGTACTGTAGATAGATGTGATTAGCTACTGTACTGTAGATAGGTGTGATTAGCTACTGTACTGTAGATAGATGTGATTAGCTACTGTACTGTAGATAGATGTGATTAGCTACTGTACTGTAGATAGATGTGATTAGCTACTGTACTGTAGATAGATGTGATTAGCTACTGTACTGTAGATAGATGTGATTAGCTACTGTACTGTAGATAGATGTGATTAGCTACTGCACTGTAGATAGATGTAATTAGCTACTGTACTGTAGATAGATGTGATTAGCTACTGTACTGTAGATAGATGTGATTAGTTACTGTACTGTAGATAGATGTGATTAGCTACTGTACTGTAGATAGATGTGATTAGCTACTGTACTGTAGATAGGTGTGATTAGCTACTGTACTGTAGATAGATGTGATTAGCTACTGTACTGTAGATAGATGTGATTAGCTACTGTACTGTAGATAGATGTGATTAGCTACTGTACTGTAGATAGATGTGATTAGCTACTGTACTGTAGATAGATGTGATTAGCTACTGTACTGTAGATAGATGTGATTAGCTACTGTACTGTAGATAGATGTGATTAGCTACTGTACTGTAGATAGATGTGATTAGCTACTGCACTGTACTGTAGTTGGGTGTGATTACCTACTGTACTGTAGATAGGTGTGATTACCTACCGTACTGTAGTTGGGTGTACTGGTAATATATCCCGGGTAGTACCAGGACTAGGGTTCCTACTGAATTAGCCGAGTGCAGGGTTTGTATCAATTTGGTTATTTTTCTTCTGGTATGAATCAACCCCATTGGACAAGATGACAGTGGTAAATCATCTGGTTGGAGAAGATGGCAGTGGTAAAACATCTGGTTGGAGAAGATGACAGTGGTAAATCCTCTGGTTGGACAAGATGACAGTGGTAAATCATCTGGTTGGAGAAGATGACAGTGGTAAATTCTCTGGTTGCGAAGGATCTCCATAAACTAACAACGCCAATAGGCTGGACACGGTTCGTCGGCAAAAAGGTGTAGCTAATGGCTTAGTACAGCCGTGTACATGATTTCAGTTAAGATAGACTTTTTAAATAAACCATTAATAGTATACGTACCAATGGCGAACCCCAGACCAAAATTGGGTGCTATCAAGTGCAGTATATTAGTGGAAAATGGTATCTGGAAGAAAAGAAAATATTTTAAAAGCATTTAGTAATTATGTTCAAAATTTAAGCTAAAAGGTTTTAGTAATTATGTTCAAAATTTAAGCTAAAAGAAAGGAAATAAATGTCTGATAAAAAGTTTATTGCATGATCTATGACGTAAGTTTAACCAATTTAATATTCTAACAGCAGAGCTGAAACAATCTTCACTTTATCAATACCATCCAGACACATTCTTATGGCTGATAAATTCTCAATATATTACTATATTTAATGCATAATAATCCTATGTTTTAGAACCCTGTCTCAAAAATGGGACGCTATCTTTAAAGGGTTTATACGCTATCCTTTAAAAGGTTCATACGCTATCCTTTAAAGGGTTTATACGCTATCCTTTAAAAGGTTCATACGCTATCCTTTAAAGTGTTTATATGATAACATTTTTCTTCTAACTTTTATTAATTCAATATTTTAATGTTATAATCCTTGATTTAATGGATTTTTAATTCAAGAGGTACGTACCACAAACAAACATATTCCAATTACAGCCATTCCTATCATAGCACTTAACCATCTGAAATATATATACACGTAGACATCTGTAGTTACCTCCCCTGTATCAACCAATCATGTTTAACGACATCATGTTGGGGATTTTCGGTGGTCAGTCCGGAACTCCCGAAATGAGAGAATTACAATCGAGTGAAGCTGAATTCCGTCCTGTCACCAACGCCGGATTAACCATGGTGGGGGCCCTGGGGCCTGGAACATGTGGGGGCCCCTGGTCACCGACTGCAAAGTCGCGAAGCCCCGCAAGGGGGTCTGGGGGGGGGGGACTCCCCTCGGGAAATTTTCAGAAATTTGAGGCCGGAAACGTGATTTCCTGGCATTTCAGGCACTTGTGTGGAGTCTTTAGAAGTACCTACCCCAGAAAAAAATAAAATTCTGCCACAAAATTAGCGCATTCTGGCGTTATTTCAGTGGACCAATCAATGCGAGTGCTATGAAATGATGGCATTTCTAGAGGAGGGGGCTGGACGCAACTGAGATTTTTGTGGGGGCCCTCTAATGTGGGGGGCCCTGGGGCCTGTGCCCCATGGTGCCCCATGGTTAATATGGCGTTGCCTGTCACAGTTCCGCCAGTCCCGACAAATATAACGTTTCAGTTGTCATGGTTGATTGAGATATTATCTTATGCAGTCGTTGGCTGTTGTAGCCCGACACCACCATTTTCACTCGATTGTCACTAATTTCGGATTGAGAAAATTCAGTTCCGGAACATTCAAACGAACATCGCCAATGTATTGCCAGGAAGGGGGGGGGGATATTGGGTTAAACATTCACTAAACACAACTGGATAAACCCACGAGGTTAGACAGGCGAGCCTGCTCTGTCACGTACATGTATTTGTTGTATTCCCTACATACTACAGAAGCGGTGTGGGAGATATTGGGTTTAGCATTCACTAAACACAATTGGCGAACACCCTCAAGATTAGGCAAGCTTTCATCAAAACGGCACAAATTGGTTCTATTACAAAATCCTAACTTTATAATCTAAAGTGTTAGGTCACACAACCCTAACCCCAACCCTACCACCCAGGAAAAGATATACAGACATTTGGTTTAACGTCCACCCCACAGAACTCGGCTTATTTTGTTTATAGTATCGTTATGTCAATACTTGGCTTTGATAAAACCGGACGTCGCTGACAATACAAGTCGACCAACGATATCACAGCTAGTTTTTAAACGTACAAATTAGATCACTCAATCGCAATACCCCCTTACAGAAAATATAGTGATTTCTCTAACAATTCGCTTACTGCTTCTGGTGAGTTGTTAGTTGGCCGAGTGGTATGGTAATACGGCAGACCAGACTTTCTGAAGAAACTTGCCCAAAAAGGTCAGAGGGAACGGAGAGGCCGAGTCCACAGCGTTGGGAAGGGTGAATGTAACAAAGAAGATGCGAAAGGCAGCCTATATCCAGATCCAGATAAACATAGGGAATACGGGTATGGTGGCAGACAGGTGCTGACTACGCGCCTTTCACACACCCCCTCCTCACCCTTCCCCCCACCTCCTCGGTTGCACCCCGAACGACCTTCCGATATTGGTAGGGTTGCAGATAGGTGCTGACTACGCGCCTTTCAGACCCCCCCCCCCCCCCGCCACCGCCCCCATCGGTTGCACCCGAACGACCTGCCGACAAGGTTATACCACTCGTATTATTTACATGTAAGACTGATCGACATTGATGAACAACATACTCTGTTGGCAAAAAGCCAGTTTTAATCAGGACAACACTTTGATTCTTGATACTAATTGAATCACAGAGGTCACGTCCTTTTAAAAGGGGGGATAATTCAAACTTCACAACATCTTTCATTGTATCTCATGATCTTCAAAATGTTCTAACCAATCACAGAACAAGTGGCACTGGTGTAACCTAAACTCAATCAGTTCTTAATTTTCTTTATTCGGTTGGGTGATGAGTCCCCACCCCACCCACCTTTCCGTCAAATACCTTAAAGTCGGTGACCTAGTAACAATTCCAGTTGTCCGTTATGTAAAACGTCTATAATATGCAGGAAACCACGGTGGTTAAGTGAGTAAGACGCTGGCGCGCTAGTCTGGAGGTTGCGGGTTCCCCCCGGTGTTGGACGAGAAAGTTCATCGGAATTTTCCGCCGTGGGCATCTCTTGTCAGGGGTGCAGGAAGGAGCGCCTGATAAATACGACTGTCTAGTAAACACATTGGCGTGCACGTTAAAGATCCCGTGGTAGTTGGAATTAGATATGAGAATAGACCGCAGTGCGCACGATACTAGATCTTTGTACGATCTGGAAAATATCTTTCAGTGTCTATACCCACAATTCTAACCTAACACTTCAGAATAGTTTTACTCACAATTCACCGTTTTACTGCTTCAATTGGTACGTTTGTAATTTGTAAACCTAACCCTAACCCTAACCCTAATCCTAGAGAAAGATATTTTCCAGATCGTACAAAGATCTAGTATTGTACCCTCAGTGCCGCTATCCGGGCACAACATCCGGGGGTAAATAGTTTTGGACTTGGATGTCACTGGACTGGGAGAATGGCCGTCATAATGGTTATTTAAATATAATAAATATTTCATGTAAGTGATAAATAGTTTAATAATCCTCGCTTTAAAAGTTTTTACTATGTAATCGTAATTCATAAATATGGTATTTATGAGGTAAACCTTATTCGTGAACGGGGATCACGTGGCTAAGTGGGTAAGACGCTGACTCGCTAGCCTGGAGGTCGGGTGTTCCATCCCTGCATTGGCCGAGAAAGTTCACCCAGATTTTCCGTCGTGGTTCCCCCTTGTCAGTGATGCAAGTAGGAGGGCCTGACAAGGACAGCTGTCTAGTCGTTCGGATGAGACGAAAAACCGAGGTCCCGTGTACATATTGGCGTGCACGTAAAAGATCCCTTGACAGTTGGAATTCGATATAAGAGTAGGCCGTAGTGCCGCTGTCCGGGCAAAATTTCCCTCGTAGCACACTGTATGGCGTATGCCCGTCTTCATTAGCCCAGTTCTGAGCAGAACAGTAGGACGTTAAACCCCATTTGATTTCATTTCATTTATTCGTGAATACCATGATTAAGACTAACCTCGTCCTACTGATAAACTCGTCGTTACATATAGATAACAATAGTCTGTTAGTCTTGGACAAGCATAGACAGACCGACAATAGACAACAAACAAAACGCACATTCCTAATCCATCAGTTAAAAAATATCAAATAGTGATAACTATATGGACAACCTGCGAATAACCGCAAATAATATTAATATAAAGGTGAGTGGGCGAGTCCGTGAAGAAAGAGATTTTGTCAATACGACATTTTATGATATTGGTTTGTACTGCTCGTTCTAGGAACACACTACCGGTCGGAATAATATCACGCTCAATGTGAATTAATCAGTTGTTAAAGGCTGGCACTAGTCACGAATATGACATTTATCGACGTGGTTGTATGAAGAGGAATATTAAGAATACCAATAACTGCATTACCTGCCTATCTTGTGAGCCAAAGGACCGAAGATATTTGTTCCTATTAAATAAGATATACTGGCCGGTAAAAACGCGACACCTGAAACAAATAAGAAAATGAAATGAAATGAAATGAAATGGGGTTTAACGTCCTACTGTTTTGCTCCGAACTGGGCTAATGAAGACGGGCATAAGCCATACAGTGTGCTATGAGGGAAATTTTGCCCGGACAGCGGCACTACGGCCTACTCTTATATCGAATTCCAACTGTCAAGGGATCTTTTACGTGCACGCCAATGTGTACACGGGACCTCGGTTTTTTGTCTCTTCCGAATGACTAGACAGCTGTCCTTGTCAGGCCCCCCGTCCTGCATCACTGACAAGGGGTAACTACGCCGGAAAATCTGGATGAACTTTCTCGGCCAATGCAGGGATCGAACACCCGACCTCCAGGTTAGCGAGCCAGCGCCTTACCCACTTAGCCCACGTCATCCCCGAAACAAACAAGAAGGAATCCAGACATAAAAATATCTAGTTTCATACTTTATATTATATCTTTAGGGTCCACGGTGATAAGGGTGCATTTCACTAGACGGGGAATCCCGGTTTCCATGGGTTAGGTCTAAAAATTAAGGCCAACTGTAGATTTAGTCAAAGGTCACGAGATGTAGTCAGGGCTAGGGCTAACCTTAACGCTTAACCAACAATCTCGCCAACAATCACGTGCCCTAGTCCTGTTTACATCTAACGACCTAAATCTGCAGCTGACCTTAATTTTTAGACTATGCCGGGTTGGAACTTGGTGTCGGCTGAGAAAGTTTCTCGGGATTTACCAGTTTGACCCCTATCCCCACCCCTTGTCAGTGGTGCAAGACGACGAAAGGGCTGACAAGGACTATTTGAGTCCACCAGGTAGTCACCGTTAATAACAATAATGATATTATTATCACAATTATCGAATAGATGACGTCAATTCTGGCATTTGGTATGCACGTAAAGGATCCCTTGACAGTTAGAATTCGATATAAGAGTAGGCCGTAGTGCCGCTGTCCGGGCAAAATTTCCCTCATAGCACACTGTATGGCGTATGCCCGTCTTCATTAGCCGGTATGGAGCAGGAAAGTAGAACGTTAAACCCCATTTCATTTCCTTAGTCGGGTCATCATTTGGCCATGTCGGATCATCATTTGACCATGTCGGATCATCATTTGGCCATGTTTGATACTGGTTGATCGTGTCCCACTAGTTAATGTAACTAAACTCACCTTGTTCCCATTCTTCTGAACCCATAGTCTCGTACATCCAGATAGGTAGCGATGGTTCCATCATCGCGATTCCCATATTAGCAAAAGTGATAGATCCTAGATTTATAGAAACAAAATACATTGATAACGGGTTTTAAAAAGAATAATTATTTCACTATCTCTGTTATCATGGCACATCCAACTCACCCAAGCTACATCCCAGAATAAATTCACGCTATATATCAGAACACACCCAGACTACATTCCAAAATACACCCAGACTGCATCCTAGAATACACCCATGCTGAGCCCCATAATACACCCAGGATACATCCGAAATATACACCTGGGCTGTATCCCAGAATACACCCAGGCTATATCCCAAAATACACTCAGACTACATCCTAAAATACACTGAGCTGTACCCCAGAATACACCCCACAGTATATCCATGCTAAATCCCAGAATACAACCACGCTACATATTAGAACACACTCAGGATACATTCCAAAATACACACGGGCTGTATCCCAGAATAAACGTAAGCTACATACCAGACTTAACCCAAGCTACATCTTAGAATACATCAACGTCACATCCCATAATACACCCAAGCTACATCTCAGAATAAACTAAATCTACATCCTATAATACACCCAAGCTACATCCCAGAATACACCCAAGTTACATCCCAGAATATACCCAAGCTCCGTCCCAGAATACACCCAAGCTACATCCCATAATCTACCTAAGCTGCATCCCAGATTAAACTAAATCTATACATCCTCTAATACACCCAAGCTACATCCCAGAATACACCCAAGTTACATACCATAATCTACCCAAGCTACATGGCATTGATGTATAATTACCGATTATCTACTATAATTTTACCTGCAGCAATAAGGATATAAGGATCAGACAGCAGTTTTCTAAATGATGTTCCTTCCATAGATTCTGGTTTTACACACGGTTGTAGAACAAACAACTGTAAACCTGTTATAATAAAAATATACAATATATATATATATATACTTCACGAAATGGGGTTTAACGTCCTACTATTCTACCCCGATTGCGCTGATGAGGACGGGCATACACCATACAGTGGGCTATAAGGGAAATTTTGCCCGGACAGTGGCGCTACGGCCTACTCTTATATCGAATTCCAATAATTGTCGAGTGGTCGTTTATGTGCACGCCGATGTGTACACAGGACCTCGGTTTTCCGTATCATCCGAACCACCAGACAAGGGGGGATTACGCCGGAAAATACCTGGGAACTTTCTTGGGCAACACCGGGAGCGAACCCATGACCTGCTGGTTAACGGGTCAGGGTCTTATTACCCATATAAGATATACAGATATATCTTCCCTATTTATTTATATATATATTACACAGTTTCTTTATCTATCCCGGTTTCCTCCCACTGCTAAAGACCCTTACGCACAAGCGAATTATTGAAATAAAATTAAACCATATGTTAGTCCCGAAATGACCTAGTTTGTACCGAGTGGACGTTAAACCCCATTTCTCTCTCTCTCGTTATTGATCGAGAGATACAGGTCAACAGACTGATATACATAAGTCTCACAGAGCTCACATTAACAATACGTAGCGTTGTATAGAGTGCACAAGATAGGGTATGCTTGAACACCCTATACCACTTCAGTAGTGGGGACGTTTAATGGATCACCTGTTATATCTATTTGAAGTATTGATATTATTATTCATATAACCAGACCAATTTCATTAATAAACAGTTTTTAATACGAAGTATCTCATCATGTGATATACAGCAAGTGTTTATATTATATCTGTATTCTATCCCCTAGCTGGGGCCACAGTATATCACTGACCAAAAGGTACCGGGTTCGATTCAGGTGTTTGCAAAGAACTTGTCTCAGGATTTCTTAATTTAGAAGGATGGAAGACCTAGCAAGGAACAGTGGGTAGTTATTCGGATGGTACGAAAAACGAAGAGGCCGTGTACACGTTGGCATATAGATAAAAGAGATCTCAAGAAACAGTGGGTAGTTATTCGGATGATACGAAAACGAAGAAGCCGTGTACACGTTGGCGTGTTGATAAAGAGACCCTTGAAAGTTAGGATTCAATAAACATTAGGCTGAAATGCCACAGAATAGAACGTTAAATCTTATGTCATTTCATTTGTATCCGTTATGAAAGTTAATGACTCTGAATTATTCCTATATTTTATTACACCAACCAACTTGAAGGTGATGCTGTGTTTTTCATGTTCCGTATTATGTCTCGTGTGAATATCTATTTATTCAGAGATCTGAATAAAGTATTTTTTATATTGTTCATTATTCCTTTCTTTTAATCAAACTTTATCTGACGAGACGAAAAAGGATTTTTTTTAGACATGTGAGCGGAACAAAAGATAATGGGTATTTTTAAGATCTGTCAAACAGAACTATATGTGTATGGGTCGTCAATTCATTTTGCATTGTAAGTAGACAGTTTTGTGAATGTTTTGTCAATGGTTCGAAAGGTTGTGGGTTAAATCCCTGGCTCGCTAGCCTGGAGGTCGGGTGTTCGATCCCTGCATTGGCCGAGAAAGTTCATCAGGATTTTCCGACGTGGTTTACCCTTGTCAGTGATGCAGGACGGAGGGCCTGACAAGAACAACTGTGTAGTCGTTCGGATGAGACGAAAAACCGAAGTCCCGTGTATAGATTGGCGTGCACGTAAAAGATCCCTTGGCAGTTGGAATTCAACATAAGAGTAGGCCGTAGTACCTACTGTATGGCGTATGCTCGTCTTCATTATCCCAGTCGGAGCAGAACAGTAGGACGTTAAACCCCATTTCAATTCACGCCAATGTGTACACGGGACCTCGGTTTTTCGTACCTTCTGAATATCTATACCTTGTTCCTTGCCAGGCCCCTACAAGGGCGAACCACAGCAGTAATTCCCCTGGTTAGCGTACCAACATCTTACTTGCCGAGCCACCGCGACTGATGGATAATGTATTGCTGTTGTAAATAACATATTCATTGATGTTCGAAAGAAGAAAGTTTTTCTGTGGATGCCCTGTTTTAAAAACCGATTAATCTTAATTTGCAAGTCCTAATTTTTAACGGTGAATTTCACCCCTGGGGATTTGTATTAACAAGAAAGACCATGGATAGATTATTTGCGTAAAAAAACACTTTAGGGATTATTTTAGTGTTTCAAAATATCCTTTTTTAATAATACTCGAGCGATTCTGAAGGGGAAATTACCCGCAGGTAATGTTAATACGACTCTCTCCCAACTTTCCAATTAGCTAATCACATGACGATAGCCGAACAATTAATTAAATATTCGCATTTTGGCATTTTAAAGATAGGGATTTAATATGAGAGAGAGAGGGAGAGAGAGAGAGAGAGAGGGGTATAACCCCGAGTGTAACGTCCACTCGACACAAACTAGGTCATTTCGGGACTAACGGTTCAATTTTATATCAATAATTTGCTTGCGCGTAGAGGTCTTTAACAGTGGGAAGAAACCGGGGGACCTGGAGAAAACCAACGAGGTTGGACAGGCGACCCTTGGCAAGTACAACCTGGAAATAGATACAATGCCAGTTGACTCACTGACAGACCTAATGATACAATGCGCACGCGTTAACCATTCGGCAAGTGGTGAATACGATAACACACTTGTAGGGTCTGCTGGCTAACATGTTCTCTCTTCTAAAGATTCAGAGCATAGCGAATTATTGGAACAAAATTATATCATGCTGGACCCACAAAGGAGACGGTTAAACCCCAGCTCTCGTGTGTCTGCAAATAAGGTTTTATGCAAACCCGGAGACGAATATATTCTGGCGTTTAAACATAGACAGCATTTGCGGAAATGACGTAACATGTTCTTTGATAAGTTATGAAATAAAAGTAACACAACGTTTTGTTTTATTTAATGCAAGTCTTGTATTTGAAGCACGACGACATGACAATAATATATAAAATATCAGAAGATAAAAGGAATATTTAAATATCGCAGAATGTTTTGTGTTTAAATGTAATTCTTGTGGCCAATGAAGATGTTTGTATTTTCACTGTTTGATATTTGTTTGATACGTGAAGCAGATCCATACATTCCGCATTTAGCACGTGCTCACGTAACACAAGGAATATTAACACGTAACTTGTGTTTTATAGTGCACGGTTTATTGATCAAACGCTATCTAACATTTTATCATAGAAAATAGACTGTCTCCATATTGTTTAAATACACAAATATAACACACAGAGCAAGATATATAGGAACATAGAGCCTAAAAACTATCTTCAGAATCAGTAGCCGCCATATTTCTATATGAAATAGAAAAAACAGCTTTTCTTAAAACCAAAACCATATTACACTTGTTCTAGATTTAAACCATATTGTACTTGTTCTAGATTTAAACCCTATTGTACTTGTTCTAGATTTAAACCCTGTTGTAGCTGTTCTATATATAAACCCTGTTGTAGTTGTTCTATATTTAAACCCTGTTGTAGTTGTTCTATATTTAAACCATGTTGTAGTTGTTCTATATTTAAACCCTGTTGTAGTTGTTCTATATATAAACCCTGTTGTAGTTGTTCTATATTTAAACCCTGTTGTAGTTGTTCTATATTTAAACCCTGTTGTAGTTGTTCTATATTTAAACCCTGTTGTAGTTGTTCTATATTTTAACCCTCTTGTAGTTGTTCTATATTTAAACCCTGTTACAGTTGTTCTATATTTATACCCTGTTGTAGTTGTTCTATATTTAAACCCTGTTGTAGTTGTTCTATATTTATACCCTGTTGTAGTTGTTCTATATTTAAACCCTGTTGTAGTTGTTCTATATTTATACCCTGTTGTAGTTGTTCTATATTTATACCATGTTGTAGTTGTTCTATATTTATACCATGTTGTAGTTGTTCTATATTTAAACCATGTTGTAGTTGTTCTATATTTAAACCCTGTTGTAGTTGTTCTATATTTAAACCCTGTTGTAGTTGTTCTATATTTAAACCCTGTTGTAGTTGTTCTATATTTATACCATGTTGTAGTTGTTCTATATTTATACCATGTTGTAGATTTTATTCTTTTCTCGCTGAAAACGAAACTTGTTTTATAAACAAACAAAGCGAAGGGCCAACAAACAATATAATGTGGTCAAAACTCGGATCCAAATCGTTTTTTGCGATCCACAACATTAGAACCAAGCCATTTTATATAATACTTACATCCATCAACCAAAGCCAGGAAAGCCAGGATTAAAAACGGGGCTTCTTTTCCGGCAAATTCGTACATGACACCTCCCCATGGCGGCCCAACTGTAAATATAAAGCAGACATGGGTTTACACAAGGGAGTAAATTGTTGACCGTTGCGTGCGTGTGTAAAAATTATCAATATTAGAAACGTGAGTGTGTAAACTCGTCATTATCAATGGAAATGTAACAAGTGGTTTTATCAAAAGAATTAACCAGCTCTTCCAGTCCACTAACAAGTCATATGAATTCAACTTTTCTCTACAATTGGCACGCTTTTTAACTCAGTTGACATGTAGGAGTAGGTTATCTCATGTTCGTCGCCATTCCTGTCATCAATGAAGCTACGTTAGTAGGAAATAATCGGACAGGAATGGCTGACATGTAGGAGTGGGTTATCTTGTGTTCGTCACCATTGCTGTCATGAATGAAACTACTGTTGGTAGCAAATTATCGGAACGGAATGACGTTTCGATGTCTTGCTTACATACTATTTTATTAACGATTGGGTTTAAGGCCTACATACATGTAACCTATTCACCAATCCAAATTCAGATATCTGTCGAATAAAAACCGACAATATTTTTTTATTAGAATATGGTGGAGTCAATGATTAATAGTGAGAAGAATAAGTAAGAACAATTCTCCATTTCCCTTCTACATGACCATTAAAATTTATGTGTATTAGCCATTTAGAGACACGTTCCATCATTCTGAAAACAGAGAACTATCTACTCTGCTTCGAGAATAGATCTCTGTCTTAATTGGTCGCCATATCCAACAATTACTATACTATTTTACACACAAAAACTAAATAAACCTTTTCAATTTTATTAAATGGAAGCAAAATATATACTTCTCAAAATTCTCCAAATATACTTAGTGTTTTCCACTAAACTCGTCGATTTATAAGTTAAAATGTCGGTCAACTAGCTTAGTGTCTGTTCGCTGTAGACGAATAGCGTACGTTTGGTATGATGTTCCATGTCAGTCCCAAATAACCACCAATTTTGTAGACAAATCGTGGAATGAAATTGACTGTCTTGTCAATTTATAACGCCATTTTTGTAAGTCGAGTACCGCCATTATAGTACCATCTCTTAACTTACCAGGAACGCCCGTGGCAACCAACCTAAGCTACTATCAAAGAAAAGATATCAATTTCTTTAGATATACTTTCCTGTAAAATTAACCATTTGTGACAACGAAGTCTATCATTTGACCACCATCAACCAGTATTATTAGAATCTGAGTGCACTTTGAATCCGGATGTCTCGGTCTACAAATGACCTAATAAATTAGGCTACGACCTCTTTGGTTTCATCTAAATACGGAACAGAATTGTATAAAGTTTTGGACTGACATTCCTTATAGAGATAGACATTCACAATGTTATAGTTTGACAGAGATTACCTCCGCCTCCCCCTACTCCAGAAGGCGATCAGAAACGTTACGTATATTTGTCCAAAATGTGTGGCTACCGTAACAGGCTTATGAAACCCTTTAGTCATTAATTGAGATATGAAACATAAATAATGTACTCACTTAGAACACCCATAGCCAATCCACCTAACGCTATACCCATAGCATTACCTCGTTCTTTATCATCCGGATATCTTTCTGCTAACATCCCCATACCTTATAGAAAAACAAAATAAATATTATCAAATGTAATTAGGGCCTAAGTGAAAGGGACGAAAGAGTCATTGTTTTGAGTTTTAGCGCCCCCCCCCCCTCGCAAATGGCAAAAACTTCACGCGGTTTTCAACATTATAATCATTATCATAATGCTTAACCAGTGTCAAACATATACCGTGGATCAGATATGATACACTCTAGCATGTTCCACACAGCCCAATATTACCCGGTGGCACTGTGAGCCCCCCCTCCTCCCCACACATGTAGACTAAATAAGCCCGTTCTATTTTATAAAATGGAAACACAATAAATACTTCTCAAAATTCGCGAAGTATTTCAAGATTGGAATGTCGGTCAACTAGTTTAGTGTCTGTTGACAAGCGTAAGTTTAGTATGATATTGGATCTGTGGCCTGGATGTTACCATGTCTTACGGCTTGATATCCACCCAAGAATAGTTTGTCTCTGGTGACTATTAGATGCGTCATGGAGTACCGGAAATACGTCATGGAGTACCAGAAATACTTGAGAGATATATTCATTTAAAAATCAATTCACGACATTATAAATCACTAAGATTCTCGAGATGATACAAGAACGGATGATGTAGGTGTGAATTTGAGGACGACACAAACTAGGTCAACCGACTAACATGTGCTTCTATTTTATTTTAATAATTCGCTTGTATGTAGGAAGACATTGGAGATTTTGGAGAAAACCCACAAGGTTAGACAGGCGATCCTACTACTTGTTACGTACAAGCTGAGAATAGAAATCACGCTACTTGACCCTACGCAGTGTCGGGCCTGGATCCTGATTACTCTGAAACAAACTCCCTGTATCAACATTGGACGATAAACATCCAGGAGCTTGCATATAAGAATCGAAACCACATACATAAGCTGGATTGTTTGACTTACACAGGGATATACGGCGTCATTATTTAAAGTTTCATCCCCCTTGCTCATCCACAAATTGTACTTAGAACAAACTACTATTTGGTTACAATTCCAGTCCCTATACTCCACACCCGCTCTCAATTCCAGACCGTATATCTTGCACCCCTTCTCAATTCTAAAACGTTTTTAGAAATATAATGAACATTTTGTTTTTACCTGCGACACTGGAACAAGATGATCCTATACCTTGAATAGTTCTCGCTACAAACAACACAACATAACTCTCACCAAACGCAAATACTGAAAAATAAATAAAAATAAAAGTAGTGTAGATTTCAGACTTTAATCTAAAAGGTATTCTGTTTACATGTAAAAACAGAAATGAAATGGGGTTTAACATCCTACTGTTCTGCTCCTAACCTGGGCTAATGAAGACGGGCATACGCCATACAGTGTGCTATAAGGGACGTTTTTCCCGAACAGCAGCGCTACGGCCTACTCCTATATTGAATTCCAACTGGCAAGGGATCTTTTATGTACACGCCAATGTGTATATGGGATCTCGGTTTTTCGTCCTATCCGCACGGCTACACGTTGTCCCTTGTCAGGCCCTCCGTCCTGCATCACTAACAAGGGGGATCACGCCCGGAAATCCCAATGAACTTTCTCGGCCAATGCAGGGATCGAACACGTGACCTCCAGGTCCCACCCGCTAAGCCACCGTGGCTCCCATGTGAAAGTAGATTCCTTGAAATTCTCAAACAAGAAGTGGTAGAAGGTGTTCTGACAGAAGAAGCATACCCTGCTTCTTGTATGTCACCCGTCCATAATTGAGATGTGATATCAAGTGTTCTAGAAGGATTAAGCATAGCCTACGTCATGCATGAAGCCTGTCACTATAATTATTAACTTAATACCCCACTTAATATACGACATTCTCCACCTCATATCTAGTTGAGAAGTGGTGTCAAGGGGTCTAGAGAGAGCACGCATAGTCTGTCTCCTGTATGACATTCTCCACCTCGTATCTAGTTGAGAAGTGATGCCAGGGGGTCTAGAGAGAGCACACATACCCTGTTTCATATATTACACCCATCACCAATTATTACTATATAGGAAGTGTTATCAGACGTTCTAAAACGAGTAAGCACTTCCTGGCTCATATCTACACCCGTCGCTACTTATATCTGATTGAGAAGTGTTACCAGGTGCTACATAGAGAGTAACCCCGCCTTTCCTTATAGATATGATTTGTTTGACCTTTGTTAAAGCAAAACTTTTTATAAAGTTGGGAATATTTCAAATTTCAATTAAAAAAAAAAAGTTTATTTAATCTCGAATTTTCATTTGTATGACAATGATGACTATTATATAATTGGGTCATCAAAACAAACACGTGGATGTCATTCACTGATTGATTGATTAATTAATTCCAATCACAGGAATAACGAGTTGAAGTGGAGAAGAATTAAACAAATTATCGATTAATTTACACGATTATACAACAAAAGATAGACTAAACTCCCTAGAGATGTTCTGAAAATAAATTAATTGACAATATTCTCATCATCGATTTCTACTTGATAAAATCACTTTTATAATTCTTAATCCTTACAATAAAATAATTTAGCTATATATTATAAATGGTAGAGTGAAGTGACAAGATTAGCGGAAGAGTGGGTATAGCGTAGGAGCAACATAAAGGAAAGGAAAGGCATAGTGTTGGAGAAGGCGTAGCGAGGCATACCGATGCAGAAGGTGTAGCGAGAGAGGGAGAGAGAGAGAGAGAGAGAGCGAGAGAGGGAGAAATGGGGTTTAACGTCCACTCGACATAAACTAGGTCATTTCGGGACTAACATATGGTTCAATTTTATTTCCATAATTCGCTTGCGCGTAGGGGTCTTTAGCAGTGGGAGGAAACCGGGGGACCCGGAGAAAACGCACGAGGTTGGACAGGCGATCCTACTCCTTGTCACGTACAACCAGCGCGCACGTGCTAACCATTCACCCCCCCCCACCCTAGAATGTTTAGCGAAGGAGAATGTATAGCGAAGGAGAAGACATGTTTAAGGAGAATACATGCCGAAGGAGAAGTTATAATGTATAGCGAAGGAGAAGTTATAATGAAGGAGAAGACACCACATACGATTATAGATAAAGAAGAGAAAGCCATAGAAAAGGAGCGGATATAGCTAATAAGGAGTTGATGCGAAGCTAAAGGAAAAAATTTACGAAGGTTAAACAGAAGTTTATTGCAAACAGTAATTTGTATTTTTGTTAAAATTGTGTACTGATGTGAATTTATATTGATTTATTCTTGATTGAAACTAAATATATCCACACTAACAATCACAGACTCTAATTATATATCAGAATAAAACAATAACTTACTTATAGTAGATACCATCATAATACAAAAACCAGTAAACATTGGTATACTGTATCCAATTCTAAAAATAAAACAAAATAAACATTAATTATAAAACATATACTGTAAAAAATATCCATTGTTTATGTGGCCGAGTTCCGTAGTTTAACACTTTTTTTCTGCTAATCGATGGCTTTTTTTTTGGGGGGGGGGGGGGAATTGTGTTAAAAGTGTGAATTATTTCTTCAAATTACGTGTTTTATGTATTTCTATGGAATATTCAGTATTAAACAACAAATTTCCGTGAAATTTAGGGATAAAATATTTTATTCCATTCTATAATGGACTTAAGTCTGTTATTTTACGGCATAAACGGTACAATGACCAGGAATTTACGGATTATTTCTGTTTGCAAATGCAACGATAAGTAATCGTATACATATATAATCATTCCTAAAAATTATCATGTTATAGTATTCATTTCAATTTATTAACCATAATATTGTAGAATTATAGCTTGTAAACTTTGATATATTACATGTCATGTATATCTAATTTCCAGTATTTATAAGATGTATAAAGTGTATTGTTATTCATCATACGTTAATCAGATTGTAAATAATTTCATAAAAAGATGTTTTAACGCTCCGTATGTATAGGTTGTATTATCTGGTAATCAAGCACACTTAAATCCGAATAGTATACCCGATTGGCTAGTGTAAGCCGGTTTGTCTCTATGGCAGAGTTTGCATACCTGAAAGCCTTACTGACGAGCAGCGGTTTGTGATACATTGCTCTCGAATAAGATATTCAGTTTAGCGGAAAAAGGTTGCGAATAAAGATTGTCTGTGATATTACTTCGGTAGAAGCGGACGTTAAATAAAGTTATTTCCCACACGCGTATAAAGTCAGTGGTTAATTCAATGAAATTGTTATCACTTTCATGCTCGGGAAACAAAAATTACCAGGATTTTTTTTCCGTATTTGAAAATAGAATTTATGTTAATTGAAGGAGTTTCTGTAAATTACAGGAAACACAAATACTGATAAAATTTTCCTGGTAATTTTTGTTTCAGGAATTTTTTACGTTTTTTCAAGGATTTTTTTGTTCCAATGTAGGTAATTTCTGGACTAACATATGGTTCGATTTTATTTCAATAATTCGCTTGGGCGTAAGGGTATACACCAGTAGAAGGAAACCAGAGGACCCTACTCCTTGTCACGTGCCACTTGACTCAATAGAGACTTTTGGCAAGCGGATTTTTCCCATCCGTATCCCGTATCCGTATCGTATACGTGATACGTTGCGTCAATGTAGTTTTAGAGTTTTGGCAGAGTTTAGAAATTTTTGGTTTCACTAATGTATCATTTCAGAAAGTTTAGCCCGTAAATCAACCAGTATGCAGACAAGCGGGAAAAATATGAAAATTCCGAGAACAACCCATCAAAAATAATGATTAAATTGCAGTCGTTATCACTGTTAAAATCACATCAAATATACACCTTCGTGTTTTAGGATACACAAAGATTCATAAAAACGCTATGATGCAACATTTCAGCGTCTAAAAGTAGCAAAAACGACGGTAAAAAGACGACAGTGTTATACGGACCATTTCCGTATGAAAGCCGTTCCATACGTGCTGCCGTATCCGTGTGCCGTATCACGTATGAGAAATACACAGACATTGATGACGTCACACGCAAAATCCATACGGATACGCGATACGGACCAGGAAATTACGCTTGCCAAAAGTCTCTAATGACAGGCCCGTACGTAACTTACGTACGAAAATTAAATGGTGGTAGCTGGCTTTTTTTTCGCACGTATACAGTGAATGGCCATTTTGCTCAGTAATCCCAGCCAGAATTTCGCTATTTTTTAAAAATTGCGTTAAAGTTTTAAATTTTTGTTTAGAACTGAAATAAATTAACTTTTAGTCAATCCCCACGCTAAAAACATTAACAGAATTGATTGTGTATATCTTAAATAGACACGACCGAAGCACAAAATAGTTCCAATATGCCGACGTCAAATCTAGAGTTGTAGATGATGTTATTTTTGTGAAAAATCATTGGAAGAAGCGATAAGACGTTCTGTACGGATTATACAGTCCTAAAAGGCTGCAAGAAGGCCATTGTTTACAATGTAACATATATTGTGTCTTGTAATGTTGATAATGATCATAACGATGGTGTTTACATTTGTTTGTTGATGTGACCTCATGACCTGTGACGTTTAGATAACGTCATATGGATATCATGGCTATTCACTGTGTCAGAGTCACTTCTCTGCAGGTAGGGTGAGTCTGTCGTTCAGATTGTGACAGGCCTTACTTAATGGAGCCCACTAATTTTAGCAGATCCCAACTCTCGGCCTGCGCCACCCCCAAACACACAGTGTTTTTTATTGCTAAACTATGGTCCCGAATTAAACCGATGGTGTAATTATAGGTTGGTTGTAATATTTAGACCTAACTGTATTTATACGACGTCTCCGGGAGCCTTTTTGTTTTTCTTCTATTTTTAATGTTTCAAGTTTACATAACGCCATATTGACTTTTAATGCTAAAAAGAGAAAGTGTTGAAATGATTTGGATGGTTTCTGTCCACAGGACAAGAGAATATCTAGAGATTCCTGACGATTAAACCGCCACTGTTTGCTGTATTCATATCATCAACGATGTATTCTGAATCAGACAGCTGGAAATACATGTCGAGAATTATCGATAACATTTACAGGTTTCACATCTTACTGTTTTGTTCAATCAGAGCCAGAGTTTTATATATAGACTCTGATCAGAGTCAGCGCCTTATTATATATAGACTCTGATCAGAGCCAGCGCCTTATAATATATAGACTCTGATCAGAGCCAGCGCCTTATAATATATAGACTCTGATCAGAGCCACCGCCTTATATATAGACTCTGATCAGAGCCACCGCCTTATAATATATAGACTCTGATCAGAGCCACCGCCTTATATATAGACTCTGATCAGAGCCAGCGCCTTATATAAAGACTCTGATCAGAGCCAGTGCCTTATAATATATAGACTCTGATCAGAGCTAATAATAACTGGTACACAACATGCAGTGTGTTACCCGGCCTACTTTTATTCCCAATTAAGAGTTCAGATTTCTTTTCTTTGACGTGCACGTTAGCGTGTACACGGGATCTTTGTTTTTCCGTCCTGCACCACTGACAAGAGGAAAGCACGCCTGGAAATCTCCAAGACTGTCAGGTTACAGAGCCAGCGCCCTACCCACTGATCCACCGCACCAGAAATGAAGTTTATACTTGATGTTTTCTCACGTTAGGTCATTCGCGACCAGGACCAATAATCAATCAACGAACTGTATACATGAATAACTGAATTGTTAAAATTGGGGAAAGCATTACGGTTGATACCGCCATACATTGTCTGCCTACAATTGGCTCCGCACGAAGCTAATAGCCCAACATTTCAATTCCTAATTTGACAATTTTAGTCGAAAATCCTGAGCATACTTCAAGAATTTTGAGAAGTGATTATTCTGCTTTTATTTAATCAAATTGAAAAGGTTTTATTTAGTCTTTGTATGTATGAAAGATGTAAACGGAATATAACCACATTAGAAAATAGCATATTGATTTTTGAATATGGTGGCCATTCAGGACAGAGATCTGTACTCAGAGCAGATAGTTCTCTGTGTGTAGAATGTGATACCACTTTTTAATTAGTCGTAGTTATGAAAAAATATACTCGACTGGTCGTGAGAAATAACATCATATACTCGACAGGTCGCTTAGTGTGGGTAATATAACATATATATGACAGGTCGCTTAGTCTAGGTAATATAAAATATACACGACAGGTCGCATTGGCTAGGTAATATAACATATACTCGACAGGTCGCATTGGCTAGGTAATATAACATATACACGACAGGTCGCATTGGCTAGGTAATATAACATATACACGAAAGGTCGCATTGGCTAGGTAATATAACATATACTCGACAGGTCGCATTGGCTAGGTAATATAACATATACACGATTGGTCGCTTAGTCTAGGTAATAAAAAATATGCACCGCTTTTTCTTAAAGTGGAGGTAATTAAGTTGTTAATTTCCTGTTTAATTAAAACCTGGTTCCTCTTTCTCTTATTTGCTTAGTAAATTTAAATTGGGTCTGACAACGCGGTTCATCACGTGCAGGAATTGATTGTCTCATTAGTAAAGATTATCGATTTAATTGGATTTTATTAATAAAAGGGTGCCGGGTTCTATATTACCGCAGATGTTAAACCACTCGTCTACCCCCAATTATTACCAGTACGACACACAGCAGGTGATTTGATGGTTTACAAGATACGGATTGTCGACTGTTGTGTGGAAGCGGACGTTAAACTCCATAGAACTATGAGTAGTAGACAAGAACGACCAGTTATAACCAGCAGTAGTAGTAGACAAGAACGACCAGCTATAACCAGCAGTAGTAGTAGTAGACAAGAACGACCAGCTATAACCAGCAGTAGTAGTAGTAGACAAGAACGACCAACTATAACCAGCAGTAGTAGTAGTAGACAAGAACGACCAGCTATAACCAGTAGTAGTGTAGTAGACAAGAACGACCAGCTATAACCAGCAGCAGTAGTAGTAGACAAGAACGACCAGTTATAACCAGCAGTAGTAGTAGTAGACAAGAACGACCAGTTATAAACAGCAGTAGTAGTAGTAGACAAGAACGACCAGCTATAACCAGCAGCAGTAGTAGTAGACAAGAACGACCAGCTATAACCAGCAGCAGTAGTAGTAGACAAGAACGACCAGTTATAACCAGCAGTAGTGGTAGTAGACAAGAACGACCAGCTATAACCAGCAGCAGTAGTAGTAGACAAGAACGACCAGTTATAACCAGCAGTAGTGTAGTAGACATGAACGACCAGCCCTAACAGACAAGCAAACAATTTTAGACTATTCCTATAAGATTTAGACCCTTGCGTTGGCCAAAAATGTTCATGGTGATTTTCCGGCGTGGTTCCCCTATTTAGTGGTGCTGGACAAAGGACCGAGCAAGGGGCAATGTATAGTCGTTCGGATG